GTGAATACTTAAAATAATATCGATTAAATTTACAGATTATTGTCTATGACTCACAGGTTACGGCACTGATGTGTCAGAGACAAGTCATAGACAATATGGAGATAACACATGATTTTAAACGTCAAGTCAATTTGACAATGTCACAAATTTTCATCGTCCACGTATTTTGCTAAAATAATTTGTTTCAAAGATTGATTTCAAACTTGTATAAACGTGAAAATAAAGTTGGTTTCATGGGCTTGTTAAATAATGTGTATGATATTATGAACACGTAAGTGATTATGGTGTAATTGTGTATGAAAGTGTTTGTTTACATCTCTGCTGGATTCTAAAAAATCAAGGTATAGGTTACTATTTTTTACGTTTCGTGATCTCCGGTTATCTGCCAGTTACCCCAAAGGTTAAGCAGAAAAGATATGTTCAGTTCTGTTAAACAATATTTACAATTTTTATGTCACAGCTTACAAAAAATCCATACCTATTGTACTTAAAAAGAATTACAAGTTTTTAGTGATATTTCTATTTATTATCAAGTAATATTATTTACTATCGTCAGAAAATGTGTGAATTCTGGATTCTGTTAAATTTTTATACAATTTAATGTGTCAGACTGTATTTTTTTCTCGATTGTCTGTCTCTATAATTTCAAAGAAACTTCAAATTCATACTTTCTTCAACGACTATAGAAACAGTACATAATACCTATTAAGGTCATAGCACTGGCCCATTTAAGTCCCAAAGCATTGATAGGGTTAAACAATACGAGGACGTGTAAAAGCGCCTACTTGCAAAAAACAAATTAGTTTTATGAGTTTTAGGTATTAAAATTACGTTTATTTTTTCTCCCTGCTGAAATCGGAAAAGCTACTACGAAAAAAGTACGAAAGCCCCTTTTGCATCAGGTCTAAGGGCCAAAAGAGACTCCATGCATAATTCAGAATCTATTATCATGTAAATACACCTAGTTCCCGTAACAAACTGAGAAAAAGCAATCTTTTCTCTTACGTCTACTTGCGGGCGAGGTATATGTATACAGGGTGTCCCATGAAGGGTGTACCAGCGGCTGTTTGGTGTTAAAGGACACTAATACATCTATTTAACCCCTATGTATGTTTAGCGAAATTGAATAGTTTTCGAGTAATAACAAAGTCGCTCATACACCAAAACTAATTTACTTAGAATTTTAGACTACTATGTTTGTGTGTAATAAAGAAAATAATCGCTGTGGTCGGTAAAAACCAGCGAATTACGAGTCATAATCCCCTGCATAGAGTTCCTTGTAAATTCGAATTGATCAATAAAACGGAATAACATCTATGGCACAATAGCTTTTCAGTACCTGGGTCTTGATAGAGAGAGCTTGAACTTTCACGTTTTGTTTACCATAAACAACTATGACAATAGAGATAGGAAGCAAAAACATTTAATATAATGTGCTAATGTAATGTAAAAAAAACTCATAAAAACTCATAAAACTCATTTATTTCTGTAAATAGGCTTAAAAAAAGCACTTTTACACGTCCCAGTATTAACCCTACCACTGCTTCAGGACAATAAATGGGCCAGTGCTGAGAAGAAGCAGCGCAAGAAACTCAGTCACTATTGTGTGCTTTTTTATACAGGGTGTTTCTTGTAAGGTGTCAAGCCGAAGGCAGGTGATAGGTGAGGACTAGACCTATCGATTTCACCCCCATGTATGTTTTACGATTTTTCATAGTTTAGAAGTTATCGTTAATTTTGTGATTTTTTTCAAATTGTATGACCTAGTAGGCTTTAAATTTTTTTATCTTTTTTTTGGGTCGAATTTTCTCAGATTTCTTTTTTTTTGACAGATTCCCTATTAATTGCAGATTTTTGAAAAAAATAATCAACTTCCTATCTTTGATGCAAGATACAAAATTTTTGCTAGAAACATAAAAATATGCTTTTAGCGGAACATTCTAAAATTTTCAACTTAAAAGTAAAAAAAAAAAGAAATTCCATAGGTCCAAAATAATTTTAAAAACTGCGCAGTTTTCTGAACATATATATAATAACACAAAAAAACATGTACTTAATAGGCCATTATTTTCTGTAATCGCTCCACTCAAGTGGCAAGTTGGAGATTCCGTTACATGTTTTTGACTTTCTTAGGACTAAGTAATGTTTGCAATCCCTTAAGTTTACGTTATTTAGAATACATTTAGAGACAATATCTGAAAAGAACATTTTTTATCCACAACGAGGAAGCTCTTTCCCTTCATCTGGTATCAAAAAAAAAACAAAAAAAATACCATAGGGAATATGAAAATATTGATGAACTGCGGACAAAGCTGACTGTAGCACAAAACCAAATTAAAATGAAGAAGAAGGTTTTTTGCGTCGTTGTCGAATGTGCATTCAGGTCAACGGCGGACATTTTGAATATTTACTTTAAATTAAATAATTACACCCATTTTTGCTCTCTCTCTCTCTCTCTCTCTCACACACACACACACACACACACACACACACACACACACACAAACTCTTTCCCTTTCTCTCACACTCGAATTTAATCGTAAATAGGGCATGAATATCGGAATCTCGGAATCTCGTAATATCGGAATCTCGGACTGCGAGATCCGATATTTCAATTCCGATACTGAGCGATCCAATATCGTAATATCGGAATCAGATAAAAGTTTTAATTGAGATTTTAAACAAAGCGTTTAAACTCGCCACAACCTGCCACAAAGCCCAAAGTACAAAGACCAATGATTTTCTCATGTCTCTCACCATCACTTTTTGTTCAACTGCAAATATTTTGATATCTTTACTATTTATGGTTAATTTAACTTGCTCTAAATCAATTTTAGCATTTGCCATAGGTACTTGGTCAACAAAGAACGACATCTCAACTCCCTTACAAACATTAAATTTACTGGACTATGGACCGTCAGTTCTGTGTACTATGTGCCCTGCCCATTGCCACTTCAGCTTGCTAATCCGTCGGGCTATATCAGCGACTTTAGTTAGTTTACGGAGCTCCTCATTTCTGATTAGATCTCGTAAAGAAACACCAAGCTTATCCCTCTCCATAGCACGTTGTGCCATATATTCAAAGGCCACGTTTTCAAACCGTATATCATCACTGGTAACACACACTAATTGAAGACTTCCGTCTTCGTATTCGACGATTTACCTCTTTCTCGAAATTGCATCTAACTAACTAGCTGATCGTTTGTCCGAGATCGATATACTTACTTGTCAACAATTTCGAGAATCGAGGTCCTAACCGAAACTGGGTAAGGAGCAACATGGACATTCGACATAAGCTTCGTTTTTTCCATATTCATCCGAAGGCCTACCTGTTGGGAAACTCGATTAAGGTCTTCGAGCATTGTGATAAGGTCTTCCAACGATTCTGCCTTAGTACACAAAACAGACGGACGATGAGGCAGCAAGGTTCTGAAGTGGAGGCCACGTACCGGAAAGCGCAGTGTAGGACTCATAACCACAAGGTGGACCGACGACCTCATAAAGGTAGCAGGAAGGCGCTGGATGCAGGCCGCCACCAACCGGCCATTGTGAAAATCAGCATCGGAACCTGTGTTCAGCAGTGGACGTCCTATGGCTGACATGATGATGATGATGGCTCGTGGTTTTGTGAGTTGTACATCGAAAATCAAAAAGGAACAAATTACAAGCATATTCAAGTTTTTTACCACTCTCTACAATTTTTGTAACACGTGATTTGAATGACTCTAAAATTCGTTCCGCCAACATAAAACAGGGTAATATAATGAAGTCCAGGAGTAAAAGTTTGTTTGATAAATGTGATTTTACAATAACACTTTAATTATTTGCTAGTCCATATAGACCATTCATTATCAGGTGATCCGTCTGCTCGTTTGCCTCTTGTCACATAAAAAAACCAAATGCAATGGATACCCATAACGTAAAAATGGTTTTAAAATACTTCAATTTTATGAAGTGCTATTTGTACCAAATTAAAGATTTTGATTAAAATCATTGTTTTATTGTAAACAATCCAGAATTCTTACGAATATAACGAAATATTAATTTTATAGCACATGAACTCAATTCCGATATTAATATCGGAATTCCGATATTGAGATCTAATATCGGAATCCAATATCGGATAGGCATATTATAGATTATAGGCAGTTCGATTTTTTCAAGTTATTTATAATTTTCAAATTAGTTTGAGATGCGACTCTTAACGCTAAAAATTAAATAACTATCCAATATCGGAATTGAAAACCTTCCGATATTACAGTCCTAATCGCAAAGTAACAACCACCACTGTGGTCTAGTGGTAAGGCCACCTATTTAGGACAGCCAATTCCTCTGTGGTTTAGGATTCCGAGTGAAGCTCGCTGATCATCCATCAGTTTTCATCAGGTCAGAATCGCTCTTGCCCTTCAGGCAAGAGATTCCTCGTTGTGGATAAAACAATGTTCTGTTCAGTTATTGTCTTTAAATGTGATCTAAGTACTTAACGTAAACTTAGAGAATTGCAATCATTAGTTAGTCCTAAGAAAGTCAAAAACATGTAACGGAATCTCCGACTTACCACATTAGTGGAGCGATTACAGAAAATAATGGCCTATTAAGTACATGTTTTTTTGTGTTATTATGAAAGTTCAGAAAACTGCGCAGTTTTTAAAATTATTTTGGACCTATGGATTTTTTTTTTTTTTTTACTTTTAAGTTGAAAATTTTAGAATGTTCCGCTAATAGCATATTTTTTATGTTTCTAGCAAATATTTTGTANATTCCCAATACTTTTAGTGCAGCCCTCGTATAAAAGAAAGTCGTGTTAGTTACTTCGCTTATAACTCAAGAAGGGCTGAACCGATTTAGCTGAAAATTGTCAGGGAGGTAGTTTAGAGCCAGGAGAAGGACATAGGATACTTTTTATCCCGTTCGAAATTAAAAAAAAGTCTGCTTATTTATTGCCATTAAGGCGGAACAAAGTTCGCCGGGTCAGCTAGTAAATTATACAAATACAACAAATGGATTTCAACACCTCCCAGGCAGCAGTGCTGACGGAGTTCTTCCGCCAAGGAGACGTGGAGAAGAGCCGCGGCGATCTGCCGCCCATCATCATGGACCGAGAGAAGTGCTTCATCCCCGACCTCGAGATACAGTTTCTGCAGACCACGTGCATCCCGCTTTTTGAGTAAGTGCATTTTTCCTGTGATGCGGATTTGGACCAGTGGGTCTATAGTCTAGTCCGTGAGCACGTAGAATTTTGTCCAATGACCCCAAGCCACCCATCCTTATCGCTCGCACGTAATTATATTGCTGTCGCGCTCGCACACTCACTACAGGCGCCCGTCGCACAGTCGCGACAGCAACATAATTACGCGCGAGCGATAAGGATGGGTAGCTTGGGGTCATTGGACAAAATTCTACGTGCTCACAGACCGGGCTTTAGAAAAAGTGCACATTATAATAGCAAACCAGTCAAAAACTGGTCGAAAGGCCTATTTTGTATAGAGTTTTGACGGACTCGATTTTCGATTCGATCAAAAAGTGCAACTTGTCTAGGGGGGCAGGTCCGCACGCGTGCCCAAATTCGCTTCACAGGAAAAAGGCTGACTAACTGACCAATGAGGGGTCTAGTATTTGCTCTCAACATTTGGCGCTACTGGCGAGTGACAATACCTTACTATAGTGGTGCCACATTAGTGAACGCTATAAGTCTTCTTACCGCTTCGGCCAGCATTAGCCTTTAGCGCATGACAGAACCTTACAGTGGCGCCAACTGGTAAGCGCAAACTCGATAGCTGTCATTAAATCCAAAATGTTCATAATGAGGGCTATCGTTTTTATACTTAACAGTTGGCACCCCTGGCGATTGACAGGACCTTACTCTACAGTGGCGCCATCTTGATGAGTGCAAATGCGATAGTCCTCCTACTACTTTAGCACTCACCAGTTGGTGCCACTGTCTTCGCTACTAGCAAGTGACAGGACCTTACTCTACAGTGGCGCAAACTGGTGAGCGATAAAACGATAGCCCTCATTGAAGTAAATTGCTTCAATAACATATCTTTTTCACAGCACTTTAGCAAGAATCATACCCAAAGCGGGAACGTGTGTCAAGATTATTGAGAATCACATCGAAAGGTGGGAGGCGGCGAAACCTATATTTAGCGAGGTTAGTGCAGTATTGCCATAATAGTACTTATTAACGCCCGTATTCACAAATATTACTATGTCTCACAGTGCGCGTGGACACACGAACTAATCACAGAGCTCTATTCAACGCTGTGCGTTCGATTTGCTGCTTCACTTAAGCAAGCATCGTTTGTGAATACGGGCGTAAGACACTGTCATTGTTAGAAGTAACTAAAAATATTTTTGCAATTTAAATAAAAATTGCCGGATATTGAACCTTATTTCTATTATTTTAAGGTGCCGACTACAGCGGGTCTGTCAGTGCTTTTGAGTCCAGAATTAGATAATCTGATTGAGCTTAATATGAAAGAGAAAGAGAGATTGCGTTTGGAGGCAGAGGCCGAAGGAAATGCCGAAAACTAAACTATTTATATTTATTTTAGGCGCTACTAAAAAAATTCTAGTTTGTTTTTTTGTATTTTGAAGTCACTTTAAAAATAAAACCGTTTCAGAGCTGTCCTAGTCTATGACGTTACGATATTTCTGTCATCTTTATTATTAGGGTTGTGTTAAAGTATATCAAAATTATTTTAATTTTAATAAACTTATGTAGAGTGACAAAAACTGGGTTTGATTTACTCATTTATTTTTTTTACATTCATTAGTGATATGATAAAAGTACAGTTAGTAATATACAAATTTAATAATCACAATCTAAAAATAAGGAATATTTATAAACATCAAAGTTTGGTCTTTTATAAATGCCAAAAAAGTCTCTACGTGCACAATAAGGAAGAAAAAAGTTTACTTTGGAATTCATATTACAAAATTTAGTTTTTTAGAACTAATTAGACATTATCTAATTAAGTAATGAAATTCTTTCCCGTCTCTCTCTATCTACACTTATAAAAATCACGTTTCAATCACTTTTTACTCTATCACAGAATAATCGGTTCCTTTGCAAACTCTTTGGCACCACAATCCATCATAATTCGAAGCTGTCATTCAATTTTGCTATTTATTCTAAGTACGCTATGGTATATAAATACATTATAGAAACATCTATACAAGTATTAGTAGAATAATATATGGTGCTAATCTCTGAAGTAAATTCAGTAAAATGCCATTGAAATGTACAAGAACAATCACTACCTATTATAAATTAATGTAAGTAGGTAATAATAAATGTATCTCGCCACGTTTGTATGCATTATGGTAATCTGGTAATCTCAATAGGGTTTGAATTAGTTCAAATTAAATACTTTATGTGCCGTGTGGTGACGGCAGAGTAGAATACATTTGTCACCAACCCCTACTCTTCCCGCGGGTGTCGTAAGAGGCGACTTAGGGTCCACACATCAAACAGAGAACGGGCAGCAGTGCTCTCTGAAAAACATCAATCTTTTAAACTGCGATCTCCAACCCGCCTGCCAAGCGTGGGGATTATGGCAAAACCCTCCACTATATTGGAGGAGGCTCATAGTCCAGCAGTGGACTGTAAAGGGCTGTTGATGAAATACTTTATGAGTAAGTAACCTTGACATCACTTACCATCAAGTTAATAAAATATTTTTTATTTTGATTTGAGTGATTGCGGTCAAACGTAAACTCGGTCTGACATAAAAAGTACATAATCCATAATCAGGGAATGAGGGTTTTCGCGATTAAAAAATCCGCCAGGTGGCAATACGTAGACGCGAGGTTCAAATGCTGCATGATTGGTTATTTTTGACATGACATTGACAGATATGCCAAACCTCACGAAAAAAGTTTATGGAATTATTTGATATTTGAATGTATATAAAGCCAGAGTGGTCCGCTATTTTACCTAATATTTATTAAGTAATGGATGCACTTAAGCACTTTATAACGAAGGAATATTGCAAATGCAATGTATATTTTACCGGTGCGTTTACGCTATGAGCCCATTCTCCTTAGGCTGAAGAAGCTCCTCCACGAATTCTTGAACGATGTGCTGAAGTTTGAGCTTCACTTGCTCACGTTCACTGCAAAGGGAAACAGTAATAGTTATTTTCATTGGACATTGGAAAATATTTAGGGCCCTTATGTAGACAATATAACATAATAGTACGAGAGCCCACGACCAAAACCATGTCTCATAGCAATACGGCAAAAACCCTATAAAATCGTTAGATTGTATGATTCTGAACCCGACTAGGTGTGTAGTAACGGTCGAAAGTGTAGCAACTGCGTGGGAGGCCATTACTGCTGTGTCAAAAAAAAAAGACAGTCTGTATTATAGCAATACGTCTGATAGTGAAAATGTACATAGATTTTATAATTGTATTACGAAAAAGTTAGTTTTCAGACATTTTGCGCGTAGCATATAGCTTGAGCGCATTTTTGAAAATGTCAACAAATTTAGCCGACCTGTATCATAGCAATACGGATAATTATTTTTTTCAACTTTTCGTATTGCTGCCATGATTACCAAAAACCTGTTTTCAGACACTTTATAAGTGTATCAAAAAGTTGTATGATAGAGACTGATAGAGAAGGTGCTACACTTAATTTGTCTGATATAAATTTTTTGCAAATGTGGACAACTTATTTTATCATGTCCAACAATTTTCAGACATATTGCTATGATACCGATCGGTATAATTTGTTAACATTTTCAAAACGGTCTCAAAATTTAATGCGTTCACATTTCCGTCTGAAAATTGTTTTGTTCGCATCAAATAACCAAAATTTACTAATAAAAAAGATTTTCAGACGTATTGCTATGAGACATTTTTTTTGTCTCATTTTTATTTTTTTTAAGTGATTTTACGGGTTTGCGCTATTTTTTTTTTTTTTACTTTTAAGTTGAAAATTTTAGAATGTTCCGCTAATAGCATATTTTTTATGTTTCTAGCAAATATTTTGTATCTTGCATCAAAGATAGGAAGTTGATTATTTTTTTCAAAAATCTTCAATTAATAGGAAATCTGTCAAAAAAAAGAAATCTGAGAAAAGTCGACCCAAAAAAAAGATAAAAAAATTTAAAGCCTACTGGGTCATACAATTTGAAAAATCACAAAATTGACGATAACTTCTAAACTATGAAAAATCGTAGAACATACATGGGGGTCAAATCGATAGGTCTAGTCCTCACCTATCACCTGCCTTCGGCTTGACACCTTACAAGAAATACCCTGTATTTCGTAAATAGCATAAGCGATTATACCTCTTCTGTCAAATTATAAATTGCCATATACAGGGTGTCCCAAAAACAATGGATAACCCTGTAACCATCGATAGGCCTCGCCATGATCTCCCTAACGTCCATTTTTGACCCCAGTAAAAATATCACCGTTTTCAAGATTTTTAAGTTTTTGTGCATTTTTAGAAAATTGCCATCAGCAATTACTTTTTCTCATGCCATTTCTACAAATGAGGATACTTTTCAATCTAGTTTTTTTCCTTATCACAAGGGATAGTTAGGCTATCATAAGAAAAGATCAAAGTTCAACAAACTAGTTTGAAAGTATGAAAATTTTAAGAAATTGCAGAAGAGAAGGAAAAATTAATTCATTGTCTTGCACTTTTGATCAGCCATCGTGTAAAAAAAATGTAGGAAGACCATCGTGCCCATTACCTTAAAAACTTCCTTGGTTAATTGAGATTCTAAAAAGGTATCACAAGCCTATGTATTCTGTATTATTTTTATCTTATGGCTACTTGAATAGCAACTAGTATGAAAACTGCAAAAATGAGTTTTTCTCGTAATAGTTAAACTAGGACTGCATAGTGGCATTAAATACAAATGGATAATTTTTAGCGTAGGAATTTTAATAAAGCAACATTTTATCATCATCATCATCATCATTTCAGCCATAGGACGTCCACTGCTGAACATAGGCCTGTACCCCAATGATTTTCATAATGACCGCTTGGTAGCGGCCTGCATCCAGCACCTTCCTGCTTACCTTTATGAGGTCGTCGGTCCACTTTGTAGGTGGACGTCCTACGATGCGCTTTCCGGTACGTAGCCTCCACTTTAACCCTGCTGCCTCAGTTCTGCAAACTACTGTGCCCTGCCCATTGCCACTTCAGCTTGCTGATCCGTCGAGCTATGTCAGCGACTTTAGTTCGTTTACGGATCTCCTAATTTCTGATACGGTTTCGTGAAGAAACCCGAGCATAGCCCCTTCCATAGCACGCTGTCCAAAAAATCCACGTTTCCGAGCCGTGTATTATCACGGGTATCTGTCTATAGGCACATTTATAAGGTTTAAAACAAAAATTAAGTAATCACAAAAACGCAGAACGGACGGCCAATGGGGCAACAGGGTTCAAGTGGAGGCTACGTACCGGAAAGCGCATCGTAGGACGTCCACCTACAAAGTGGACCGACGACCTCATAAAGGTAAGCAGGAAGGTGCTGGATGCAGGCCGCTACCAAGCGGTCATTATGAAAATCATTGGGGTACAGGCCTATGTTCAGCTGTGGACGTCCTATGGCTGAAATGATGATGATGATGATGATAAAATGTTGCTTTATTAAAATTCCTACGCCAAAAATTATCCATTTGTATTTAATGCCACTATGCAGTCCTAGTTTAACTATTACGAGAAAAACTCATTTTTGCAGTTTTCATACTAGTTGCTATTCAAGTAGCCATAAGATAAAAATAATACAGAATACATAGGCTTGTGATACCTTTTTAGAATCTCAATTAACCAAGAAAGTTTTTAAGGTAATGGGCACGATGGTCTTCCTACATTTTTTTTACACGATGGCTGATCAAAAGTGCAAGACAATGAATTAATTTTTCCTACTTCTCTGCAATTTCTTAAAATTTTCATACTTTTAAACTAGTTTGTTGAACTTTAATCTTTTCTTATGATAGCCTTTCTATCCCTTGTGATAAGGAAAAAAACTAGATTGAAAAGTATCCTCATTTGTAGAAATGGCATGAGAAAAAGTAATCGCAGGTGGCAATTTTCTAAAAATGCACAAAAACTTAAAAATCTTGAAATCGGTGATATTTTTACTGGGGTCAAAATTGGACGTTAGGGAGACCATGGCGAGGCTTATCGATGGTTACAGGGTTATCCATTGTTTTTGGGACACCCTGTATATGAAACAACGCAACGAAATACCGCAGTGTCTCAAGACGAAAGTCTTCGAGCAGTGTGTGTTGCCAGTGTTGACATATGGATCCGAAACGTGGTCGCTTACTATGGGCCTCATAAGAAGGCTCAAGGTCACCCAAAGGGCGATGGAGCGGGCTATGCTCGGAGTTTCCCTGCGTGATCGAATCAGAAATGAGGAGATCCGTAGGAGAACCAAAGTAACCGACATAGCTCGCAGAATTGCTAAAATCAAGTGGCAGTGGGCGGGGCACATAGCTCGTAGAGACGATGGCCGTTGGGGCAGGAAAGTTCTCGAGTGGCGACCACGGGCTGGAAAACGTAGCGTGGGCAGGCCTCCTACTAGGTGGACCGACGATCTGGTAAAGGTCGCGGGAAGAGCCTGGATGCGGGCAGCGCAGGACCGTTCATTGTGGAAAACCTTGGGGGAGGCCTTTGTCCAGCAGTGGACGTCATTTGGCTGAAACGAGATATGAAACAATAGATACTTATAGAGTGTTATTCAAAATAACAAGTGACTAACAACACAACACTACTTAGGTACCAGACCAGGACTACTAGAACAAGCCTAAATGTTCAAAAGTTTCATAAGTTTTGAGATATGACCTTTTAGTTATTAATGTCCATAGAAAAGTTTTATGAGTTTTGAAATATGACTGATATTAGTTATTTTTAAAAATGGACTATGCGTTTTAAGCTCAACCTCCTCTGAGTATCAATGTCACATGTCATTTTGGGACACCTGTATATAGGCACTATAAGTTTGTAAAACATGCAAAAAGGTGACAATCCATACCTTTCGAAGTTAATTAAAGTAAGTATATCCCCATCACATTTGCACAAACATTCCGTCTTCAAAACGGAGGCGCTAAATTGCTTCCATTCAATAAACGCTTCCTTTGAACCGACGACCCGGGACGCTTCCGAATTCCTTTTAAACTGTTTTAAAATCGCCAAAGAGAAGATTTACCAATTTGGCAGCTGAAATATAAAGATCGAGAGGCTGAGGCAAAAATATTTGCCTAAGTGTATTGCTTGGATTCGGCATAAACATTAATGGCGAGTACATCACTCACCTTCGGTTTGCCGACGATATTGTGGTCATGGCAGAATCGTTGGAAGATCTTGGCACAATGCTCGAAGACCTTAATCGAGTTTCCCAACAGGTAGGCCTGAGGATGAACATGGACAAAACGAAGCTTATGTCGAACGTCCATGTTACGCCCTACCCAGTTTCAGTTGGGAGCTCAATTCTCGAGATTGTCGACAAGTATGTCTACCTCGGACAAACGATTCAGCTAGGTAGGTCCAATTTCGAGAAGGAGGTCAATCGTCGAATCCAACTCGGCTGGGCAGCGTTCGGGAAACTACGCAACATCTTTTCGTCCAAATTACCTCAATGCCTGAAGACTAGAGTGTATAACCAATGTGTGTTACCAGTGATAACTTATGGCTCGGAAACGTGGCCTCTCACTATAGGCCTTATACAGAAGCTCAAAATTGCACAGCGTGCTATGGAGAGGGCTATGCTTGGTGTTTCTTGGCGAGATCGAATCAGAAATGAGGAGATCCGTAAACGAACCAAAGTCGCTGACATAGCCCGACGTATTAGCAAGCTGAAGTGGCAATGGGCAGGGCACGTAGTACGCAGAACTGACGGCCGATGGGGCAGAAAGGTTCTGGAATGGAGGCTGCGTACCGGAAAACGCAGCGTGGGACGTCCACCTACAAGGTGGACCGACGACATCGTAAAGGTAGCAGGGAAGCGCTGGACGCAGGCCGCTACCAATCGATCAACATGGAAAGCATTGGGGGAGGCCTATGTTCAGCAGTGGACGTATTGTGGCTGAAATGATGATGATGATGAAGTGTATTGTTGGTAATTATCAAAATTTTAAATGGTGAAAGTCTAGTCATAAAGTCATTTATTTTTCTGCAAATAGGCTTTAAAAAGTGCTTTTAGACGTCCCAGTATCACGTACTATAACCCTACCCGTACCACTGCTTCGAGGACAAAAAATGGGCCAACTCAGTGCTGAGAAGAAGCAGCGCAAGAAACTAGGAGTAAATAAATATACTCGTACTTACTTAGTATGTTAACTTCTGCTGATTGTAGATAGCAAAGTTAACAACTTTAGTCACGGTTAACTTATTTAGATTATTTAAATATCACTGACATACGATAAGCAGGTATATCATAAAGTCTTAGAAAAATATTGCAAAGGGTGTTCTTTCTAAAACAGCAATATTCCAGGATTAGATAACTAACAAAACTACACTCAGCGTTCTAACAGTTACTCTCCATTATGCAAATGACCAATGACTAAATTGCGCTTCGAATTACAATACTCACCCACCGGTATTTATCAATTTAATTATTTTAATGGAACATGATTGAACGTTACGTAATACGTCACTTGGAGGTAATAAAGTTCAATTTTATGACATCCCATCCCAAATCTTATAGCACACAAATATTAAGAAGATATTTGTAGTATTTGTAGAAGCCTTTCTTGGCTTTCTAACTTTAAAGTCGATAACACAATAATTTTTCTGTCGAATTCTTGAAACTCAACTTTATTTTTTTGTTGCAGATCCAGGCATGATTTGAACAACAAGGGTGAGTTTCTATTCAGTTCTACATTGTTTCAAGATTTAGTTCTATGTTCACAGATTCTATTGGAATATTGTGAAAATTAGCTACTACCAATAGTGTCCCAAACAAAAAAGGCAGGCGAAACCTTTTTTATGGGATAGGAGGCAAACGAGCATTCCACCTTTTTGCGTATTTTATAGACAAAAAATGTTAGTATAGCGAATGTGAATAAGGTATTAATAGCTTTTATCATTATGTAAAACGCAATGGCCGATGCTACGATGCTTGTTTCTTTGACAAAAATCTCTATCAAAGATACAGCCTCTTTTGGAAATTCTTATTACGTAACTACATAACATGGTAGTGCCACTGTTATGTGCATGGAGCCGGGAAACTAGAGAAAGGACTTCCGTAACGGAAGAACGCGGCAGGTCGCATCAACCTTTGTAAAACCCAAAAATGATGCATGAAGCAGAATTTCATAATAGTGACGTCACTCATGGCGATTAAGTAGGTACGTCAGAAAATTTAAAAAATTCCGGACATATCATATCATTTTCCGGACTACAATAAAATATGAGCTTAACAAAATGGAAACATTTTTTTACAACTTAACTTTTTTTAACCTACCTAAGGTTACCTACCAGAAACATTCCAAAAATATTTATATTGTTGAACAATATTCACAGGAACTATTTCAGACAGTTTTCCAAACTTTTTAAAACTGTTGTAGGCGATGTAGGTCGATGGGTGAACGAAAGATGATGAAAAGATGAAATGAAAGTCCAGTTTGTAGTAGAAAAACCGAAAGGCGCGTCCGGGGGTGCGTACGTGCGTTCGCGGAAGTTGTTGGATCACGACTGGCGGCTCTCGGCCCCGTGTGCGGCGCGGTGGGCCGCGAGTGGCTTCTGGCCATAAAAGGACAGAGGCCTCCGGCCAATCAGCGGGCCGCATCGCTAACGGCTAGCTCTAGCATGTTCTAGGCGCGACAATATTATTACCTACGCGCACCCGGAGTTGCGTATTATTTATTGATACCAAACCAAACATAAACATGTAGGTAAACAACCGTAACATCCAAATGGGATGTTAAACATTTAGTTTTATTAGAATAGATAAATAATTGCACATACATGTAGCATTCTAAACACAAAATAATAATTAGCTTAAAATAGGTAAAATCAGATACACATTATAATCAAAAGTAAATATAGTAGGGAAGATATGTAAATCAGTTTAATTGCAAGTAAAAATAAGTATCTTACGTAAATCTATCGGCTACTATACCTACTACTGGTGGCCATCGTTAACANGGTCTCGCGGCCACAGCGCGCGCTCGTCACGAAGAAACAGAGGACCGGTGAACCACACACAGTCTCTGCTCAGCTCGCAGTCGGCGATGTTCTTTGTAATCAAGTCAGCTACATTCAGTTCGGAAGAAACGTAATTCCACTCGGAAATTTTGCTCAACTCATCGATCTCTCCGAGTCTGTTAGCAATAAAAGTCTTGTAGCTTCTTGATTCGTTTCTTATCCAGTGCAACACCGTTGTAGAGTCAGTCCAATAATAGGTGGCAGTGGGTTGCAGGCGGTGCTCCTTTTTAATGCCATCTGCCAGACGACATCCAAGTAACGCGCCCTGCAACTCAAGTCTAGGTATTGTTGTGGATTTCGACGGCGGTGTCACTCTGCTCTTACTGCTTATAAAGGAAACGACCACTTTGCCGTCGTCGCACCTTTTTCTCCAGTAAGCCACCGCGGCGTAGGCGTGCGGGGATGCGTCACAGAACACGTGTAGTTCTAGCCCCGTCTCGCTCGCACTCATGTCTTCGGTAATAGGGCTCGCGTCCTGCGGTATCGTCGTAGCGTTCGTAGATGCAGCTAGGCTCTCGTAGTCGCTCGCAGTCGTAGCAGTGTTTTGTTCGAGACGGTTACTCGTAGCAAAATACCATCTGGGTATGCGCAAGTTGTCAACCTTTTTTAACTGTTCCATCCATTCGCGAAAATAGCAAAATAAATCATCATTGATTTCGTCGTCCCATTTAATATTTAATTTCCAAGTCTGTTGAATTAATATTTTACCTTTAATCGTGACAGGACCTAAATAACCATGAATATCGAAAATGGACATAACAATGCGTAGAACCTCGCGTTTAGTAGGTATTCGTGTGAAATTCAAAATGTCTGCAGGTATGCGTTTCAAAGATAGGTCAAAGGCTAACTCGTCAGAGACCGGGTACCAAAGTAATCCAAGTGTGCGCTCGGGGGAATTACTCACCATATTCTTCTCTGCATTCCCGCTCAAATCTTCCTTTGGCACATCTTCGAGTACTTCAGGGGCATTACTCATCCAGTTTCTCATATGAAAACCTCCTTGTTGGTGGATGTACGATACCTCTTGCACCATCTTCTTCGCGCTGCCTGGATCTTGCAAACTGTCAATATAATCATCCATATACTGACTTGTATTTATGGCGTGAACGGCTGTTGGCATTTTGTCTCGGAATCTAGATGCATTTTTGGATTGATTTATGTACTGCGCTACAAACGGAGAGCAATTCGCGCCAAAAATAAGTGAAGTCATTGCATATTTCTGTACAGGTTGACCATCCCTGCCTTTCCATAAGAATCTTAACGCGTGTTGATCTTCGTCTCTAATTTTTATACACAAAAACATGTCTTTTATATCGCCTACCACGGCCACTGGGTACTCGCGGAATCGACTCATAATTCCATACAACGAGTTCAATAAGTCAGGGCCTTGCAATAAAAAGTCATTAAGCGAATGGCCTTGGGTCTTCGCCGCTGCATCGAAAACCAACCGCAGCTTACCTTTGTTCGGGTTGTCCACACCAAAATGCGGTAAGTACCACACTCGTTCGGCGGTCTCCTCAGCGACGACAGACCTGGCATAATTATTATCAAACAAATGGTCAATACGATCTTGATAACGTGATGCGAAATCATCATTTAATGTCATTTTCCTAAGTACAGTTTTCAACCGGTTGAAAGCATTTTGATATGAATCTGGCATAATAAAGACATCACGCTTCCACGGCAAGCCTACGGTCCAATGACCGTCAATAAGTTTACTTGTATTATCTAAAATCTCTATCGCAAGTAATTCGTCTTTGTTTCTACGCGGTTTACTCATTATTCCTAAAGACTCCAATGAGAAATAATTTCTGACTAACTCATGCAATTGTAAATCATATTCGTTTTGATCGTGTTGTAAACAAAGGGTTACCTACGCCATATCGAATGACAAATGATCGAAAATCAAAATATCGAATACGTTTCATCGAACGATCAAAATATCGAACGATCAAAATATCGAATGCTCAAAATATCGAACGTTCAGAATATCGAACGTTCATAATATCGAACGATCAAAATATCGAACGATCAAAATATCGAAAGTCGATATAGACGTTTTTATTTAATTCATATACCTTGCTCGGCTCCGGTGCATGGTTGTGTTTGGTCGTACAACTTTTCAACAAATGTTTTCATCAAAAAATATTTGTCGCGCTTCGTTCAGAAATGATGCGTGATGAAATTAAATAAAAACGTCTATANAAGCGGGGGCTGTTCGCAGGCACCGAGTGCGAGCGGGACCGCGCTACCGACTAGGGCGTCGACACAATCACACGAAGCGACGTTTTGAGTCGGTTCGCGGCGGAATTCGAAACACAAGTTAGTGGTGAAGCGAACAGATGAATTGTTTACCTTGTTCGTAGTCCCGTGCACGCACCATCCTAGGCTCGTTTTCGTGATGTATGGCTCACCAGATTTCCCCTTTATACACACAGTAGGAGCAATCAAATCATAATTATCTTGCCCAATTAATAACATTGGCTGGGCGTCACATTTGCACAAATCAATATTTACAGATTTATATTTACACCAATCAATATTAGGTACACATTGCAATGGCAAATTGAGTTCGGAAATTTTTCTTGCTTGTAACTTAAAACGCTTACTGTCTCTATTTGCGATTTCGAAGTTCACAATTTCCGTCTCACATGTCAGTTCGTTAGAGTCCCATGCACCACGAGCGCGCATGGTATGAGGTACTCCGTGCAGTCCGACCTCATCCGCGAGTCGCGACGCGATTAACGTGACGGTCGAACCGTCGTCTAGTAAGGCGTGCGTGTGCATACTGCCTTTCGGACCGAACACTGTAACCGGCACTATTTTCAGTAATACTTGAGGCACGTTTTTGCACTCAAGCGCGGTATGATTCACTGTTTCACTTTCACTGAGTCGTTTTTTTTGTGTGATGATTTATAAACATAAAACTTTTGAACTGATTCAAAGCACACTTTTTTTTTTCAAAATGTACATTTTTTTTGAGAAATACTCAAATGTATCAAAACATTTCAGTCCAACTTACTGTCAACTCGACAACGAGCTTTAGAATCAAAGATCGACTTTGAATTATGCCTTATTTTACAATTCACATTGAAAACAATATGCCTTGCTTGAACTTNAATTGCTTGTCTTACTAAACGACGGGAAGCTACGGAACCCTGCACTGCGCGTGGCACGACATTGGGTTACTGATTTTTTCATATAAATCTAATAGACTCGAAGCATAGACATTGCAAAATAGGCATTTTATTAAATATCACGTGAGATTAGGGGGGTGGGGGAGGGGGTCAGGCAAAATCTCACCAAATCTCACCAAGGGGGGCGGGGGGGTTGAAAAATGGCCAAAATTGTCTCACGTAATTTATGGACGCCCCCTTTAATCGACCCGTTGACAGATGACTTTATGGTTACTGATCACGGTCGAGATCGGTATACTAAGAGAAAATCAACCTTGCGATTTGAAAAAAATAAAGAGTAAAAATTATGATGTCGGGTTCAGGGATGTCAGAAGTAAGAAATTATTTTACATAGCGCCTCTAGTCCCAAACTAAGCAAAGCTTGTAATTTAAACAAACATGGCAATGTACCATTCTGCGTGATTATTGGCCGCTAAGCCCTTGGCCAACTCAGTAACCAATGACGGACTATTGTCACNATACTTAAACGAACGCTTACAATATACAGAAATAACTAAAATAGATTGTAGAAAAAATGTTGTAACTGTAAAATCCGATATAGAAGTAGTTAAATACGGAGTGCCACAAGGAACTATACTTGGTCCTTTATTGTTCATAATTTATATAAATGATCTCCCCCTAAATGTTCCGCACCCAATGTATTTATTTGCCGATGATTCTACCATAGTTATTAAAAGTAATGATCATGACACATACGAGCAGTCCATAAACGATGCTCTTGCAAATGTAATTAACTGGATGAATGCAAATAATTTAGTAGTTAATCTTGATAAAACACAATATATGCAATTCTATTTAAATAAAAAACGCAAAAAAAACATTACGGTGAGTTATGATAATCATTTAATTGAAGAAGCTAATGAAATATGTTTTCTGGGTGTAAAAATTGATAGTAACGCGTGTTGGAAACCACATACTTTACAATTAACGAATAAAATTAGTAAATTTGTTTTTCCTTTAAAAAAAATTGCAAGATCAGTGTCTAAGAAAGCTGCTCTTATTGCCTACTATGGATATGTGGCTTCTAACTTACGCTACGGAATAATCCATTGGGGAAATACGGCAAATGTTAATTTATTATAGGTGTACCAGAATCTCATGGCAAATAGGGAAAATAAACTTTGTTGAGAGCAATACTGGGGAAATTGGAATAAACGATCTTGATACTGTTTAATTTTTTACTTTTATGACTAATATTAATGAACATGAAGTACGAATATACATTTTAGGTAGGTGTATGAAGAATGTTGTTATACATAGGAAAATGTCTTGAAAATTAAACAAATCGTCTGTGAGAAAAGAAATGTCTGAGAAATTAATTATTTTAATTACCTACATATTTTCGCGTGGAACTGAAACATAGGCGGTGTCGTTCTTTTTGTATATGGCCAGGTCTGGGTTATTTAAAAAAAAGGTTACAAAATTTTACTATAGTTCCAAAATACTGAACTGTCCTATGCATGACATTGACAGTGGGGCGCCACCGTCAATACCGGATCGCTGGTTCCGATTTTTGCCATGTTGGAAACCATATAATTGAACGATGGTAGCGCCCCCCTGTCATTGAGTTTGGTGGTGGGACAGTTCAGCGTGGATCATCTATAAGAAAGAATCTTGAGTGACCCTAGCTGAAAAATTAAAAACTGCTAGATTTAAAAAAAATGAACTGGCTGGATCATGGTGATTTACTGTTTGTACTCCGAATGACTGTGTGAATACACCGATCAAAATGGCGTGAATAGTTATGCGCAACTTTAGGGTCCTGTAACGTATTTATTTGTAGAGATATTTTCATGATTATTTCACAATTATTATTAGTTCTACTTATTGTTTTTTTGCTTTAAATTGCCAATTCATTATGACACCCCATAGAAAATCAATTTGATACAGAAACTGCGATTACTGTAGAACGATAATACAAAGAAATTTAAAATAATTTAGTTACGTATCGCATTTTATGAAACAAAAATACATGAAAAAGCTAGGGTGGCAAACAGGTTTTTGTATGAAAGGTAAAAAAGGACTATTTTTAAAATATCTAAATATTTGGTAATAAGTAGGATTATAGCTATAATTCTTCGTTATCTTAAAGATTAATATTCATCCTCCAAAATTGTGTGTGTGTTTTTTTTGTGTGATGATTTATAAACATAAAACTTTTGAACTGATTCAAAGCACACTTTTTTTTTTCAAAATGTACATTTTTTTTGAGAAATACTCAAATGTATCAAAACATTTCAGTCCAACTTACTGTCAACTCGACAACGAGCTTTAGAATCAAAGATCGACTTTGAATTATGCCTTATTTTACAATTCACATTGAAAACAATATGCCTTGCTTGAACTTTTTCGACTTTTTCCCAAAAATAACAAATAGTCAAGAAGAGATTACAAAAAAATTGCAGCGGCTGACAGATTTCATAATTTTCTTTGACAGGTGACAATTAAACCATAGACAATTGCCATATGAAAAACACACTTTTCCAATATTTTTGTTTGCCATGAGATTCTGGTACACCTATACCCATATTTCGTGCTCAAAAAAAATGCATCAGAGCCATCTTCGGCGTCAGTCAAATGGTTAGTTGCAGGCAATTATTTCCTAAACTGCAGTTACTCAATCTTCCCTCATTGTATATTCTTGAAGTTTGTCTATTTGTAAAAAAATATGATTATTATTTTAAATCTAGGATAACCAGACTACATCGCAAAACTCGCAATAAAATAGATATATTACCCCATCATACATCGCGCACTAGTTATTTTTCAAATAGTTTCTTTGTTGTAGCACCTAAAATTTTTAACCATTTACCTGACAGCCTAAAAGAGTTAAATTATAAAAACTTCAAGACAGCACTGTGTGACATTTTAGTCAAAAAATGTTATTACTCTTTAAATGAATATTTACAAGATAAAATTAGTTATTGATGTTATTTATTTAATTAGTCTAACTAGTCTACCTTAAGCTACAAGATTTTAAAATGTAAGATTGTTACTAATTGTTCTAAAGTTTGTTATGTGTTTATTGTTTTGTTATGTAGTTATAATATCTTGCAACTACGTAATCTGTATTCATACGAATAAAATATTGTACGCCCAATCGGCAGGTTATAGCGGACTTATGTATACATTTAAGATCTGTGTTATTGTAATACCTATAACTAAGACAATAAATGATTTATTGATTGATTGATTGATTGATTAATGTCTTCCAATGTTCCAGTGAAACGTTTCTGACATTATTTTACTTTTCATAATTATGAAAGGGCAATGAACTCTCTTTTCTTAGGAAAACATGAGGAAAACACTAAACTTTAAGGTGATGGAGAGAGACACATTAAATGGTTACTCGTCTCAACTTTCGTTGAGTGACCTATAAGCTCACAGAATCGGACTCCAATAATTTGTCTAGTCTATGGCCTATGCCGGTGTCAATGTCATTTGATTGTCAACACTGTCAATCTCACAGATTGATGTGTCGTCAATCAGCTGTTTGTTGCTGAGCTGTCTGCTCGCTGCTATTTATTGTTTCTTTCGTATTGTTATCTTTATTTTCACTGCATTACATGTTAACGCCAGTGCCAAGCAAACGGATTTTTCATAGTATGTGATCCATTTTGATAAGCTTTTTACTACGTTCTTATTAATTGTGTATTAAACAAAATAATTTAAATGAATTTGTGATCATGAACAGAATCAAGAGCAATACTAATTCTAGAACAATGAAGGGTTCGAAGGGCTCCAGCGATATCAAGTCGGATGATTATCGTCTCGTCGCCAACGGCACGAAGCCTCCAGACATTAAGTATGAAAAAGAAAATTCATGGGTGGCTGGTGTGCAAATGTTTTTGTCGTTTTTACTCGCCGGTTTCGGGATGGTGGCAGCAAGTCTGCTACTCGACTATGTGCAACACTGGACCGTGTTCAAGAAAGTATCGGAAGTGTATATTTTAGTGCCTGCACTCCTCGGGTTGAAGGGTAACTTAGAAATGACACTAGCATCGAGACTCTCCACGCACGCACATCTCGGACACTTAGAAACCAGTTTGGGCTCATTGGTGATGGGAAATTTGTGTTTAATACAGTGTCAAGCAGTTCTTGTTGGATTCTTAGCAGCCTCTGCGGCTGTTGCTATGGGCTGGATACCCAAAGGCCAGTTTGATATCCACCATGCACTGTTATTGTGTGCATCAAGTGTTCTCACGGCATCATTCGCTAGTTTCGTACTTGGATTAATCATGATAGGTGTTGTTGTTGTGTCTAGGAAGATAAATATAAATCCAGACAACATTGCCACACCTATAGCCGCTAGCCTGGGTGATTTAACAACCTTGGCACTGTTGTCTTGGATAGCTTCTCATTTGTATTTGTCTATTGGCACAAGCGTAATACTGCCAACTATTATTATCATCGCTGGTGCAGTTGTCGTGCCTCTTTGTGGTTACATTGCTTGGAAAAACAACTTCACTAGACAGGCTCTAGATGAAGGATGGGTTCCTGTTGTGTCTGCAATGGTCATAAGCAGTGCCGGTGGACTAATATTGGACTACACAGTGTCCAAATATGACGGGATAGCAGTGTACCAACTAGTCATAAATGGTATAGGAGGCAACATGGTAGCAGTTCATGCATCAAGGATGTCAACATCACTACATACTGGGGAGAAGGAAGGGTCAGCTATCAGTAACACTACCAAATTGCTCCTTTTAATGGTAATACCAGGACAGTTAATATTCATTTATACCATAGGCTACCTGAGGGCTGGCCACACTTCCATGACCCCTACATTTATATTCTTCTACATGTCTGCTGCTATGTTGCAAGTGTTCTTATTGTTACTTATTAGTCATTACATGGTGTTGTTTATGTGGAAGCTAGGTATGGACCCTGACAACTCAGCCATACCTTATCTGACTGCATTGGGAGATTTACTAGGTACTGCATTACTAGGTGTAGCTTTCAGGGTCTTGGATATGATTGATGATGATGATGCAGACTTAGGAGAATGATCTATTCATTCTCCTAACTCTGCATTATCATCACTAATCATTATCTATACTTATTTGCAGAAATATTGTTATATTTTTGCTGTATTGTTAATAAATAAATAGTAAGAATTTTGTATCATATCAACTACTATGTATTCTAATGTGATTGTTAGTATTTGGAATTTTGTTATCTTTAGTAACTTAGGTTTCAGTTCAAAATTATGTGGCATTATCCATGCTCAATTGGTTAGTCACATTTTATTGCAAACAACCTTGTGATAGGCATGTGCACACAATTATATTACTTTAAGGTAATTTAAATGCTTAAATAAAATGATAATAAAACATTTTCCTCAAGTTTGGGATTATATTTTAAAGTGTCTTCATTAAAATTCAAGTAGGACCACTAAATAAATGTAATTTAAAATGTAACTGAACAGTTTCAAAATCCTAGGTTCTTATAAATTTTGATATCTAGATAACCCCTTTTATTTTATGTAATTATTTGTTTTTCCAATATATATAGAAGACATGGTTTATGTAATACAATGTAATTAACTTCTTCATAACATAATAGTTTGTAAGTCTCACAAAAGTCTATAATTTGTGCCATGGAACTTTGTGTACCTACTTCAGAGATTTTTACACTCTAGGACCAAAAATTCGGAATTGACTTTATTTATAAAAGACATGCTGTAAAAATAGCACCTTCAGTATTCTAATTTTGCTTGTAAAGTTAAATTATTACTTTTGGTAATATAATAATTTATTTTTAAAAGATGACTAATAAATAATAGTAAATATTGGTGCTATTCTCTGTAAGTACTTATTTTTTTAAGTAAAATAAGATGCAATATTAAGACAGTCTAAAATATGTACTTTTTAAACAGAGGCTTTTAAGATAAACGCTTTGAAGTGTTTTTGTGAAACGTGCATAGATAAGCACTAAAATAAATTTTTATCTTATGTATTTTGTGTATTTAATGTTTACCTGCTTTTATGTAAGTTGAAAATCTTGAAATCTACGAATCTTAATCTGTTAACGAATAGGTGATAAAAATGAAACAAATAACATTTTGATTTTGTGTTTATTGTCTTATACTAGAGTCATTTACTTGACTTCACGTAACCTCCTCACAGCGGACCTGCATGATGACGCAGCTGTGGTTGAGAACACCCAGGCGCCACCGGCTACTGTCCTTTTGCAGCGCTTGCATGACCAGATGCCAACGCAAGAACGCTTCATGGCATCCTGAAATGAAATTAACAGTTAGTGATCTTAAATTGACAATAACAAACATTTTTAAACACAGGAATTTAATTGGCTATCAATATCTTAACCATCCTGTTCATAGATAGGAAAATGCACTGAATGCATATAAATAACCTAATTATTGAAAACAAAATAATTATAAAATTGGTGAAGTTATCTCTGTGTACAAAATTTTAATTTCATTATAAAGAAGAGAAAAAACAGCTGAGGTTATAACCAGTGTTATAATAGCCCTAGTCCGGTTAGTTTTCTTGAATAGATGAATGAAGGTATTTACCAAAAACATGTTAATTGTAATGACTTTACATTAGAAAGATGATATGATTGGTATTTATTGGAACCAGATTAATAAATTAATTACAGTAAACATTATTGTGAAATAATTAGAAAGACTAGTAAAGTTAAATACCATAATTTAGGAGTACATTAGGCTACACAATGGTGTTTATTAATGAAGATTGGTAAGTGGGTAAAATATTTGAAAAAGAAAACTTAGCCTTCGTGTAGCAAGCGTCAAAGGTGCAGGTAGTAATTTATAAAATAAAAAATATCACTTGTTTGAACTAACCTCAAAATGTAAACAAAGACAATTCCACGAAATTGTACACAAAAATTACTGTTCTAAGAGGGGAATTGGGAAAGCTAACACAAAGTGTACTGTTTAATAGAGTGCTAAACGGAATAAGACGATAATTATGTACACTAACCTTTCCACAGAAGGAGCAAGTGTATTTGGCGTGTTGGGTCACTTCCATCTTCTTGACCATTTTACGCAGGGAAGCACCGTAACGGGTTCCATATTTGCCAGTGATTCCGACCTTCTTTGTACGCTTGGCCTGTAATAATTCACAACATTGAGTGTATAACACTTGCACTTCATTTCGAAAACTTGTCACCAAATTGCAAAATTTCGTGACTTATTACGAAAATATTAACCACATAGAAATATTTTAACTATGCACATTTAAATAAACACTATTATTTTTATAATTTACAAGTGATTGGTGCAATTTTTATGAATTTAATTCTCACCATTTTTGCTAAACCTGCCTAACACTTGACAGACACAACAGAAAGAGCGGCTTTGACGTTGTCAAAAACGTCAATAGTGAAACTGACAGCTACAGCTAAACTGAGACCTTGTGGCCCACGGATTTTTAAGAAAAAAAGAAATTATAATCCGTAAATTTTATAATAATAGATACATTAACTTAAAATGACTTAAAAACTAAAATTTAAAAATTACTAATTATAAAAACTATTTACAAATTAAAAAATACTTCACCCCCAGCGCCGCAGTCAGGAATGGTGCCCAAAAGGCTGGCAGCATTGCCACGTTGAATGGCCAGGCTAATTCTCTGACCAAAATAGCTGCCAGCCTTTTGATCACCGGTCACCTCGGTGAGCCTCTTTGCCAGTTCCTTATAAAAGGAACGAGCGCTTGGACCCCATGGTCCCATAGTAAAGGACTTTGTTGCACGTAATATGACATAAAACTCACACAAGTGTTTTACATTAAGTTCTGTTAGGTTCCGATAGTTTTCATGTGACGTTAAAATAACATCAAACAAACATCAACGCTCAATGCATCAACGAAATATTTTTTCAAAAATCCGCAGGCCTCAAAACTTGGGCCAACAATTTTTTTTCTTTCGATTATGTGTAGAGATTTTTTAACTATAAATTTTTGTATTAGATTTAATTTCCATTATATTTGTATGTTTAATGTGAAATTAATTATGTGTTTCATCCATCAGTGAAGAATCATTGATGAAATTACAGTAAAAAAATGTTCTACGATTTAGTCACAAAACCGATTTTTATTTTTGTTACGACCCTACCGTAAAATCCGTAAAAAAATCAATGATTGACATTTGATGTCATTTTCGACGTTTCGTTGACGATTATATTCAACGACCTACAAGTTGGAGAAGGTCGATCTTACGGATAATAAACCGTCCTGATCACCTGGACGGCTTAGATTTAGTACAATTCTAAACAGAAAAATGTTGCGAACGATTGTTTTACGAAACCAGGCGCTGAGCAGTGGCTTAAAAAAGGCTGTACGATCCAATGTGACGAGATGTATGAGTACAGAGTTAGCCAGAAGGAAACATTCTAACAAGTAAGTGCCCTTTAGATACTGTTTACAGTCATCCAAAACACTATTTATAAATATTTACTACGTGAGTAAGTCATCATTATTGAAACACAGGTTAAACTAGATATTTTTCCCGTACCAAGTTTGCGGTGTCAGTTGCATAACCAAAACGTCAATGTTCTTCACCTTGTAATTGACATTTAGCGGAAGCAAGAATGCCGGCAATTCCACGTGAACATATCTTCATATCATCAAATGAGATTACTACACCTAAACAAACAACTAGAACAGAAATAGATTCTTATAACGTACTAACAATATAAATGCTTGTAGTCTTATACTTGTCTGTTACATTCAGGTTATTGACTCCATCACAGTCAAACAAAGTCATAGACCAGCAATGGACGCTGCAGCTAAGACACTACTCGAGTCTGCCATCACACACCAAAGTCAACCTGCCTGCCCTTTCACCCACCATGGAGAATGGATCCATTGTCAGCTGGGAAAAGAAGGAGGGTGACAAACTCAGTGAAGGTATGCACAGATTATGATTTAATTTGCCCTACCACAAGGCAAAAGCATGCACAAATGGTGCCTTGTAACAGGATTATTGTTATGTTATTTATCTAATCAAAAGTAATGTGCTGTCTGTCTCAAAAAGGTAAATGTGTGATAAACTTGCTATTTATAAGTGCAAATATTAGATGAGAAACAATTAGCTTTTATTCTAATTCACATGTTTTACTTCTGCTCAAAAATTTGCTTTTGTGAAAAATATATCCTTATGTGTAAATGAAGGTCATCTGATAAAGTCACATTCAGCACTGATGCATCAATCATGATAGTGATAGTGATATTTATGATGATTATGTAAATGTTATTGAATACCAAATGCAGGGCTAGACTCTGCTTGATATCCTTCAAAGAATCAGTGATGTAGAAAATGTTTTTTTTATTTAGAAGTTTCTTAATAATTAGGAGCAGACTTTCTTAGTCCCTCTTTTGGTAATTCAATACCCTTATCATGTACTAAATGAGTTTTTATTCTACCTACATCTACAGGATCTACATGCTTATGTTTTAGGTGATCTACTTTGTGAGATTGAAACCGACAAGGCCACCATGGGCTTTGAAACTCCTGAAGAAGGTTTTCTGGCCAAGATCCTGATCCCCGCTGGCACCAAGGGAGTCCCAGTGGGCCAGTTGCTCTGCATCATTGTGGAGAACCAGGCTGATGTCGCTGCTTTCGCTGACTTCAAGGATGATGGTATGATGATGATGGTACTTGATTTGTACCTATTTTGAACACAACATTTTGTGGTTGTGTGACTTGGGTTTATTAACTGAGAATGTTGAATGAAATGAAATCCCTGGGTTCATTTAAATTCCATCAGATATTGATTTAATTTATAACAAATAAAAACATAATGGTTACATAAAGTTTACATTGGGCATTGTTACATTACAGGAAGATTACAGATTACATTGAGTTCATATAGATTTCCTAATTCATAATATTAATGATGTGTGATCCAAGTGATGTTTTTGTATCCCAGTTTTTTTTCATTTTAATTAATACATTTAAGTTTTATACAAGTAAAAAGGCATGAATTCCATTAATCAAGAAAACCCAATTGAGTTTGGTAACTATTAATATCATTTACATAATAATCATCTGCATGAATAACCTTCCCTTTTATTCAGGTTCAGGAGCTCCATCAAAGCCTACTCCAGCCAAAAAAGGTTTATATTAAACTTTTTTATTTTGTATTTACTGTAATCTGTGTAAAAAGCATGGTATTTAAAAAAAAGTGCAACAGGCAAGTGTAAATTGGCAGTAAGTTGTCAAAAAATGTGAATGGATTCAGCTTGCTACAATACTTAGATGCACTTTCATATTAGACTAGCAGTGCGATACTCTCAGTTCTTGTCGCTTTTTTGATGCAGACACAATGATAACACAACACTTGCCACAATCTATCAATCAATCAATACCTGCCGATATTTCTGTCGCTGTCTCATATTATTTGTGTGTTCTACACATGCTTTTTTATTAGATACAGTAGCTCCATACCGGACGTTTCACCGCCCTCCGATCGTGCGACGATTATGGGTGCACGATCCAATATGGACGTGCGTGACCATGCGCGTATATATCGTGCCCTACACACCAGAAAATCTTAGAAATACCAATTTATTATCATTTACATACCAATCCCAACCCACGCGCTCCTTCATGTGAGTTTTCAGCCTCCCTGGAAAATAACCCTAGATACGCTAATGGACGTGAGACGCACGCAACCAGATGATCTGATTCAGATCGCGGTAGAACGTCCGGTATGTGACCCGGCTTATTGAATTGCTGAAAATCGTTACTTCAATAATAATTATGTATAAGCTGTCTGCTATAATAGTCTGTGATGTGTAAAGTGACATAATATGTTTTAATTATACTACACGTTCGCGCTAAGTTTGCCGGTCCGTGGAATGTGCGTCCCCTTCCCCAACCGCGATTAAACGCAATTAGTTACTGATAAAACGCAATTAACTTATTTTACGCAAATACACATTTTTTATCAATAATAATAAATAAAAAATATTTTAAATATAGTTTGATAAAGTTATAGACGCTTTCCTTCGAGTGACGTCATATCGCCAGCGGCAAACTCAAAGCGAACGGATAGTAGCTGCCTGCCTAAACAAACTGAGGTTATAAAACTTTATGACTGTGTACCTTCAGCCGTAGCTGCGCCCGCGCCGGCCGCAGCCGCCCCGGCTGCCCCCGCGCCCGCTGCCCCCGCGCCCGCGGCCCCCGCAGCCCCCGCGGCGCCCGCTCACGACCCGTCCAGCAGGATCTACGCCAGCCCCATGGCTAGACGGCTGGCTGAGATCAAGAACATCCGACTCGGTGGTGAGTGGAACAATTTATCTTAAAGCCCGGTCTGTAAGCACGTAGAATTTTGTCCAATGACCCCAAGCTACCCATCCTTATCGCTCGGGCGTAATTATGTTGCTGTCGCGCTCGCACCCTCACTGCGGGCGCACGTGGCACAGTCGCGACAGCAATATACTTGGGGTCATTGGACAAAATTCTACGTGCTCACTGACCAGACTATAGTAACTGTGGTCCCATCCCAGAAACCATATGTCGGCTTTAGAAGCGGCGGGATATCTTCGACAATTAGTCTGAAAACAAACCCGAAATAGACATGTTGACACCACCAATCAATTGACGTACTTTTTCAAACTGTCAAAACGAATCTCTCCCATAGATTTTGTATGGCACTACAAGCAAGTGACGTCACTATTTTGTCAACTCAAATAAACTACTTTTTTCAATTACAATGCGACCAAAAATCGTAATTTACAGGTAATTTAAAATTGATTAAGTTTTTAAGGCCAGAATGAAGTGTCTTTTTAGAAAAGTTGTGATTTCGAATTATTGGAGAATGGTGTCAAATAATTGTCAATTATGAAAAAGAAAGGCCTGTCTCCGCTGGAAGAATTGCACTAAATGATGAAAAGAATTCACCTCATCGGCTTATATTTTTTAATGATTGGTCGCATGATAAAACCACAAAACAAAAAAACTGTGGTGTTGATTGCCTGACTATTGACAATTTTTTTTTTAAACTGTAGAAACTACAGTTTGTAGGTTGAGGTTGGCCATTATTGCGGAGTGCTTCACATGTGTAATGTATGAACTACGAGTAATTCGCATATCTCTTGTTTACTGCAGTGGAGCGGAGATTTTAAGTAATCCTAATAGTTGATATTGGCGCAGTTTCGCCCTGCTTTTCTCTTCTAATCGACATTCACCTTAGCATATTGTCTCTATTTTATCTAAGTGATTGTTTGTTTTGTCTCTAGTAAAATTGATTTCTATTGGGGCACTCATCATCATCAACAGCCCTTTACAGTCCACTGCTGGACTATGAGCCTCCTCCAATATAGTGGAGGGTTTTGCCATAATCCCCACGCTTGGCAGGCGGGTTGGAGATCGCAGTTTAAATTGGGGCACACGTTTGACCTTTTGCAAGTACGAATTAAATGATGTCGTTTGTTTAGAAATAATCTTATCATCGAATTCTTATGAATTACATTATGTTTACATTTAGATCTTATCATTCAAGACATTCGTGAATCACATGTCTAGCACTAACCGAAAATTATCTTGTATTGTTTTATTATGAATGTGATCACGCAAAATAAATGTTCTGAAAGGGAGCTAAGAATGTGTGATATCAGATTTGTAACTATAATAAAAATAAAATGATCCAACCAGAACAGAATGATATGATGGATGAGTTTACAAAGTCAAATACTTTTTTTTTTTATTTCAATATTATTTACCGCTAGCTAAGCTTATATGATTGTGTTATTTATGGGTTCTTCACAATCTTCCCCTTTTTCGTCGAGCATTCTAAGGGTCTCCGTTAAAACGCGCGCGCGTATCAATAACGAAAAATAGTATGAGCAGCGCATGTGACGTCTTTCTACCCGCGCGGCTTCATGCACCCGTGTAAATTTTAGGTTAGACCTAAGTTTATGCAGACTCGTAATAATGCAATCAATCAAACCCCACATATTAGACTCAAAATTGTAGCCTACAAAATTCCATGGCATCGACAGGGCAAGGCTCAGGCTTGTACGGCTCTCTGAAGAGTGGCGACCTCGCAGGAGCGGCCGCGGCGCCGTCGCTCCCGCCGCCACCCGCGCCCGCTCCCGGCGCCACATTCGTGGACTTACCACTGTCTGGCATGAGGGAGACCATCGCTAAACGCCTGTCTGCCGCCAAGCAGTCCATCCCGCATTACCAGCTGTGCGCTACGGTTAATGTGGAGAAGACTCTAGCTATGAGGAAGGCGGTCAACGAACGGCTGGCTGCTGAGAAGGTCGATGTCAAGGTAAGTTGGTGATGATAAATGATTATTTGCATTTGAAAAAGGGCACACTTGTCTCACATTTGGAATTTAGCAGAAATAATTTATTATTCAAGGTTTTCTTCATTTATCATGTGTAATGTAAGTTAGACTGAGTTGCACCATCTTAATTTAACTTCACCGTCAAAAATCTGTCAAACTCCATTTAAAATACACCGGTTATGGTTATAGTTACGGTTACAGTAAGTTGATGTAACACAGCCTTAGTGTTTAAACTTTTGTGACGAAAAATGGCGTCAGCAGTAATAGCAGTTGGAATTTGATTTAGGTCACTTGTAGAGATAGGACATAAACAAGTCTTGGAAACGCAGATAATTATTTTTTCCAACGATATAATGTATGATCTAATTATATTTTTCAGGTGTCCGTCAACGACTTCATTGTGAAGGCCGTAGCAGCGGCTTGCAAGCGGATACCCACTGTCAACTCTCACTGGATGGAATCTTACATTAGACAGTCAGTATTTTAAGTTCTTTTTGTGCCATTTGAATGTGACTCTCGTGTCTTTATGATGTCTAAAATAGGGTTTTTGTTTAGTTTTTTTATCGACTTCGTCATCACTTACCATTAGGTGACATTGAGAACAAAATAATAAAAGAATTTGTACGTTACAGAGCATAATGTCTCGCTTTTTGTTCTGACGACTGTATTTTTGTTGCAAATTATCTTCTACTAGCTGACCCGGCGAACTTTGTTCCGCCTTAATGGCAATAAATAAGCAGACTTTTTTTTTAATTTCGAACGGGATAAAAAGTATCCTATGTCCTTCTCCTGGCTCTAAACTACCTCCCTGACAATTTTCAGCTAAATCGGTTCAGCCGTTCTGGAGTTATAAGTGGAGTAACTAACACGACTTTCTTTTATATACAGGGTGACAGGTAAAGCGATACATTCCTTGAAAGGGGTTAAAGTAGAGCTTATTTGCAGTCATTTAAGTCATATGACACCATGCCCGAAACTTGTTCATTTCCAAGTTATTCGAGATTTAAGTATTTTTTAAAAAATCTCCAGTTTTTATGTTAAAATGTACCCTTGTAATGAAGAATACGGAATAATGTTAACTTTTTTGTTGTATTCGTATAGCTAAATAATAAGATTGACATTTTAAATTAAAATTTGCAGGAAAGAATCGTCATTACTCAAGTAAAAGCTAAAAAACCATGTATTATTTTGCAAAAAAAATATGTTTTAGGTAATTAAACGAAGAATTTCCAAGAAAAAATGTATGGAATGTTGTGTACAAATTACAGAATTTAGTTCCTTGATTCATTAGCTATTCAAAAAGGTACAGTTGTTTAACAAACACTATTTTTTTATTTGAATTTAAACGTCTAGTAAGATACTTTCATAAAAAAATAAATAAATAAAAAAGTCACACTAACAACTGTTCTTGGGTCTCAATAAATGAAAAACTTAGTATTTTAATAATAATTGTATCACCTAATTTTATCTAGGTACATTATTTTAAGTCCTGCTCAAACTGTGAGCCCCGTCTTCTAATACAAGCTCGTAGTCTGTTTCTCACGTCTGTTTTTGTGACTCTTGTTGTCAAACTGCTGAATATCTTGAGCTGCCCTCTGAATGCGCTCACGAAGCTCTTGCTCGATGTTTACGGGGGTTACATACAAGAGATACTTCATGTGACCCCATAAATAAAAATCGCAAGGGGTCAGATCCGGACTTCTGGCTGGCCAAGGAATGGGTCCACCGCGCCCAATCCAACGAAGTGGATATTGTTGATCCATCCATTGGCGTACACTGAGCCGAAAGTGTGCTGTGTGTGTGAAAGCTTCGTGAGCGCATTCAGAGGGCAGCTCAAGATATTCAGCAAAGTTTGACAACAAGAGTCACAAAAACAGAAGTGAGAAACAGACTACGAGCTTGTATTAGAAGACGGGGCTCACAGTTTGAGCAGGACTTAAAATAATGTACCTAGATAAAATTAGGTGATACAATTATTATTAAAATACTAAGTTTTTCATTTATTGAGACCCAAGAACAGTTGTTAGTGTGACTTTTTTATTTATTTATTTTTTTATGAAAGTATCTTACTAGACGTTTAAATTCAAATAAAAAAATTATTATGTAGTGTTTGTTAAACACGTACCTTTTTGAATAGCTAATGAATCAAGGAACTAAATTCTGTAATTTGTACACAACATTCCATACATTTTTTCTTGGAAATTCTTCGTTTAATTACCTAACACATATTTTTTTGCAAAATAATACGTGGTTTTTTAGCTTTTACTTGAGTAATGACGATTCTTTCTTGCAAATTTTAATTTAAAATGTCAATCTTATTATTTAGCTATACGAATACAACAAAAAAGTTAACATTATTCCGTATTCTTCATTACAAGGGTACATTTTAACATAAAAACTGGAGATTTTTTAAAAAATACTTCAATCTTGAATAACTTGGAAATGAACAAGTTTCGGACATGGTGTCATATGACTTAAATGACTGCAAATAAGCTCTACTTTAACCCCTTTCAAGGAATGTATCGCTTTACCTGTCACCCTGTATACAGGGTGTTAGGTAAATGGGTATATGAGCCGGCACTAGCCCATGTTAACATGGGCATGTAAATGGTATGGTGAAGTCAGAAATTTGATATCATCATTTTAATTTTTTTAATTTTCATACAAAATAAACTTTATAAAATCCGATTTGTATGAAAATTAAAATAATTAAAATGAAGATATCCAATTTCTGACTTCACCATACCATTTATATGACCATGTTAACATGGGCTAGTGTCGGCTCATATACCCATTTACCTAACACCTTGTATAGATTACAACTACAAAATCTGAAGTATTTAGTATGAAGCACCATATTTGTCTGTATATAATAAACTTGCCTGCCTTTGTGCCTTTGATCAAAGAGTTGGTTTACCATATTAATATTATGACTTTAACCCACACACTGTCTGTGTACTAATAAATAAAAACATATTTCCAGATTCTCAAACGTAGACGTGAGCGTAGCAGTGGCCACGCCCACGGGTTTGATCACGCCCATCGTGTTCAACGCTGATTCGCGCGGTATCATCGACATCTCCAAGGCCGTCAAGGAGCTGGCCCAGAAGGCTAAGGAGGGCAGACTAGCGCCGCAGGAGTACCAGGGCGGCACCGTCACTGTCTCCAACCTGGGGATGTATGGTGAGTGTTGGGATGTTACATTAGTGTTCAACGCGGAGTCGCGGGATCATCGACATCTCCAAGGCCGTCAAGGAGCTGGCCCAGAAGGCTAAGGAGGGCAGACTAGCGCCGCAGGAGTACCAGGGCGGCACCGTCACTGTCTCCAACCTGGGGATGTATGGTGAGTGTTGGGATGTTACATTAGTGTTCAACGCGGAGTCGCGCGATCATCATCTCCAAGGCCGTCAAGGAGCTGGCCCAGAAGGCTAAGGAGGGAAAAAAATATTAAACATAAAGGCTCTTTCAAATTAGACGTTTTGAACAGGACGTCATTGCAATCGTTCGTTCGTACTCAGCAAACGGATAACAAACCTTATATTCGTGTTCAACGCGGACTCGCGCGGAATCGTTGACATCTCCAAGGAACTAAAGTATGAAAACATGATTTTTTAATGAATAATTTTATTCCAGGAATCACCATGTTCAACGCGATCATCAACCCGCCCCAGTCGTTAATATTGGCCTGCGGCGGCCTACAGGAGCTCGTCATTCCTGACAAAAACGAACCCCAAGGGTAAGTCAAACTAAAATTAGGCAAAACTCTTTGCCATATCCGGTTACTATCCCCTGCGAAGTTTCATAAGTATAAGTATTCCTTTTTAAAAAACAGTTTTGCCAATTTTCAAAATCAATTCTATCCGAAATTATTACTTGAAATATGTGAACGAATGTTCAGCCCACAGATATAGATATACATAGATAACGCAAGTAACACGATCTGTATTAAAACCAAGCGTGCCGACTTTTTAATACCTACTGTGACGTCACAGCCAACATTTAGTGACGGGAAATCGTAATCGATTCAAAGATGCCGATGCCGCCGTTGCCCCAACGCACCGCTACGATCACAGAAATGGCATCGATTATCTGACAGACGAATGAGATACACAGACGAATGAGATACATAGACGAATGAGATATACAGACGAATGATATTAAACGGAATGTTTAAATAGATAATATTTTCATTGAATTTTAAATAAAAATGTATAATTCTAAAACAGATTGCTTATTAATTTAACATATCCAGCAATATATGTGATTATTTGGTCACAAAATTCTGTTATTTGTGGCAATGTTTTATAAAAATCATCAAAATCACGTACACTACTTGTATTCATTTCTCTACAATCCTACAATCTGCATCATCATCAGCAGATCATTATTTCTTATATGTATGTACACACATTATTATATACTTTTACATGAAAATACATTATATCTATACTACACCTTTTCTAATTTTCTCTTCGTTGACAACAATAGAGGTTGTTGTGGTGTTTCTTAATTCAGTAAAGCACAAATTAGTGGATATTAAATCCTTACTAATTCCTGTCTATTCCTAACTATACATATAATAATATAATATTTATAATAATATTATAAATGCGAAAGCAACTGTCTGTCTGTTACTCTTTTACGCCAAAACTACTGAACGGATTTGTATGAAATTTGGTATACAGATGGTCTAGACCTTGAGAAAGGACATAGGCTACTTTTTATTGCGAAAATTCCACGCGGACGAAGTCGCGAGTAACAGCTAGTATTTTATACGTTATTAATAAAAATATTGTTACTCATTAAACCTATTCACTAACCTCATCATCATTGTCAATCCGTTTTAACCTTTAGCTACTGAGGTGGATTTAATTTCACGTAAACACTGACGTGGGGGCCTGAGAGGCCCGTACATATGTGTGCTTATATTAAAAAATACAAAATCTTTTTAGGGGTTCATGTTTAATAATTATTAATAGTGGTTATATTTAAATACAATAAAACGATTTTTATGTAAATTATTTGTTAATAAGTACGTATTATTTCAATATTTAGAAAACATGTAGCATTTTTGGCAAAAATCTCATAAAATCATGATTCACAAAGTTATCATGAAAAATATTTATAAATTCAACAAATCAACTTAGAATCTTAATTTTCAATAGTTTTTTTAGCTAATGATATATCAGTAATCCTAATATGAAATAGGGGGAAAAAAATTACACACATCAAATAGTGCGAATTAAACACAGTCTGGATAAACTTGCTTTGCTCAGTAAAGGAAGCCATACATGTTTTTAAAATGTAGATTTCATTTGAATCTTCAAAATACATGTATGGCACTTGGTTTCATTGTTTAAATCTTGATAGACAGGTACAGGCTTATCATTTCCTAGCAAACGTGCCAAAAACTACTGTTCTTCTATTTTTCGTTAAATGCTGGTTATTTTTACTTCCGAGATACCGCTTTCTCTCAGACGACATACTGTGGGCTCCGTATTATAGATTTTTTCAAATTATTTCAAGAAAAGACGACAACTAAATGAAAACTATAAACAAAAAAAGTTACGCCAATACTGAGGTGGGGGCCTGAGAGGCCCACAAGAAACTTTAAAATTAATTTACCTACTGAAATTGCGCGTGCAATCACGTGCACCGTTGTTGACAGCCTCGGCGCAATGAAACTCGAAGGTACTAAAAGATTCGGGTGTGTCGTGCACGTGGGAGAGGAGAAATTCAACAATTTGACTTTTGCAAGGCCTGAGAGGCCCCCACGTCAGTAGTTAAAGGTTAATATAATATGTATAGTGGGGCATGCCGTTTTTTTAACAATCTCTTCTTTTTTGAAGGGTCAATAAAACAGGTACTTTCAAAATGAATTGAACAAATGGTACTATGTTTAGACGACGAAACCAGTCTTTCCGTTCCGTAGCCGCGATCTATTTTTCTTTTAATATTGCATCTTGTGGGAAACTAGGAAAAAAAAGACATATAAATACTACAAATACACTTTAATTAGAATATTTATTTATACAGTGTGAGTCACGTTAAAGTGTACATATGAAAATAGATGAAACTAGACCTATTTTTATCGACAAAAAAGAGGTCAACATTTTTTTTAGATTTTTAAAAAAAAATTTATAGAATTTTTATTCTTCCAATTACTTATTGTAAAGAAAACGTAATAACTTTTAAACTAAGCGGTATATCCTGATAAAATAAAAACAGTAATAATGCTAAATAACAGGCGATACTAAAAAAATACATTAAATACACAAAAAAGGCCAACAAATAATAAAAAATGATACTTTTTGAAAATAATCTGCTTTTAAATTCGTGTTTTTTTTTTTATTTGATAAATTTCTCCAAAAAATGCCCCTATAACCGGTGGTTTTTATTACTTTGTATTATTATCTATCGTATTACCTTCGTAAAACCAAAAATCGTATGTCTCTATCCCTATCACAACGTTTGCAATGATCGTTTGAACAAAGGCCTGCCACAACATTATTCTCCGCTACAGGTAGTAACAATTTTAATTTTAACTAAAATGCTTATTTTACTTCGAAATCTTTTGTGTTTGTTTGAAATCTAACTTATCTTTATCAAAATTACAAATCTAGAGCCATTTTCAGTTTCGTTGTTAACGAAGCGTTGACTGGCGCGCCCGGAGAGGCTTAGTTTAAACGATCATAGCAAATGTTGTGATAGGGATAGAGACATGCGATTTTGGGTTTTACAAAGGTAATACGATAGAGAATAATACTAAGTAATAAAAACCACCTGTTATGGGGGCCTTTTTTGGAGAAATTTATCAAATAACCAAAAAAACACGAAATTAAAAGCAGATTTTTTTCACAAAATATCATTTTTTATTATTTGTTGGCATTTTTTGTGTATTTTATGTATTTTTTAGTATCGCCTGTTATTTAGCATTATTACTGTTTTTATTTTATCAGGATATACCGCTTAGTTTAAAAGTTATTACGTTTTCTTTACAATAAGTAATTGGAAGAAAAAAAAATCTATAAATTTTTTAAAAAAAAATGTCAAAAAAATTTTGACCTCTTTTTTGTCGATAAAAATAGGTCTAGTTTCATCTATTTTCATATGTACACTTTAACGTGACTCACACTGTATATGAGAGTTATTTTTTAATAATAATTAGTATCATTCGTCTGTCCGATATTGATAAGAATCGATTATTGATTAAAGTAGTAGAACGAACAACACTAGTAGCAAAATTTGACAGACGAATGAGATGTTGCGTGTACAACGAAGTCGAAGCGATGCGCGACAGTGGCGCTTGTCCGTTATACATCGCCTCTTAACACATAACGTCAGATCAAACGCTCAAAACAAACCCGGCAATGTATCGTAAAAAATTTTTTGAATGGTAAGTTATAGATTTTTAGGTACATTCTTGAAACCACAGCTTGGAATACTTAAAAAAATGTTTTAAAATGAATTAACACTTAATATAATATTCATATAACTTACCCGTGATAGGAAATATGTCCTTGCCTTTGGGAGCTCGAAATTTTTGGCTTATTGCAATTAATTATTAATTAATTATCACACATTGAGGCATTTTTCTAGTTTTCGCGGCCGTCCGCATGCAACAACAGACGCGCGTGGACTGTAAGCAGCGGCAGCTCATTCCGATGATTTATCGGGATCGGGACACGCGAAGTAGGTGCATTTGCGTTATCTAGGTATATCTATATCTGTGGTTCAGCCTACGCTCCCCAGTGTAGGCTAAATCTTTCATTTGCCTCTGATAAAATCGTCATGCGAAAGTTTCGATGTCAGGATGTCTGGATGTTTGTTACTCTTTCACGCAAAAACTACTGAACGGATTTTGATGAAACTTTACAGTATTATTGTTTACAACCCAGAATAACATATAGGCTATAATTTTAGACGATCTGTGACAAACGAAATTTCACGCGGGTGAAGCCGCGGGCAAAAGCTAGTTAATAATAATTACAATGACCTTATGATGAAGAATACGACGATGATGATTGTAATGATGGTGATGATGATTTCCTACATTGACCTTATGATGAAGAATACGACGATGATGATGATGTTTCTCCAGATTCCGGACCGCCAAGTTCGTGACGTTCACCGCGTCAGCCGACCACCGGGTGATCGACGGCGCGGTGGGAGCCCAATGGATGAAGGTCTTCAAGGACTGCCTCGAGGATCCCGCCAACATAATCCTGTAGGTCCGCACCAGGGTTCCAAAGCATAGTATAGTTTCATAATTATCAAGATAATCTTTAAAACTGAGATTTGTACAGGCGACAGCACATCTAACTATGCGTTTTTGTTGAAGTCAGCTTATTACAACTACTTAAAATGACGCAGAGTTTGGCGTGCTGTCGTTAGTACCCTTTGTACGTTGCGACACATTTTTACATTTCTGACAAGTCAACTTGGCGACAATGTTACAAAAAAGACATCACAAATAAACTCGGCCATTTAAATGTTTTAAAGAAACAACTGTATTTGATCATTATCTTGGTAATTAATCCAGAAGAACCCTGCCACCAGCCGGTTACTGAGTGGAGTAGCTCACATCTCTGGTAAAAAGCACGAATATTTTTATGTCACATCAATTTTGTAACATTTTTTAAACGTAATGTGTAAAAGTAACATTTTTATATCGATAACAATCAGTGAATAAGAATATTAACTTTTTTTATGTATTTTTAAGGCGATCATGTTATATTTTATTTCGTTTTACTTTTTAAATATTTTTTCTATTATTTTTATTGTAAATAACTACAAATAAGCTATCTGTGTAATTATAAGTGTTATTTTTTTCTATTTTTTATCTCCCAGAGATGTCTGCTAATCCGATTAGGTAATTTTAATCAGAGTGTAATATTTTGTTACATTGTAATTTAATGTTACATTACACTGTGTTGTCCTTCGATTGATGTAAATATTATTCGTTCCACTTTATTATTTTGTTAATAATTGAGAATTAAATGAATGAAAGTTCCTTATTTTAAGGAGTGATGTATTTTGTTAGTTATAGCGAATCTTAGTGTAACTTTTGCATCACTTGAAGGGCAGGCGGCTGTTAAGACGATTAAGTGATTATTTATTTAGTGAAATAAGGAATGACCGTACAATGAATATTATGTATTTGGTACCCAGATGTTCCAAGTCGAAGGTAATCAGATGAATTTATACAAAATACCTGTCCTGGGATTGAAATCCACTTGTGTCGCGGTGTGCTTTGCTTATTCTTCTAAGGGACGCACAGCTGCATAGTTTTTGGTAAAGATAAACTAGTTCAATATGGGAACTCGAGCATTTTTACGCAAATTTTAATTATGTAGTTATTTTGGAGAATAGATCTACTTTTATTAGTAAACCTATTTATTTTATTATACAGTAATTCATAGGTATATATCGAGAGACACAACTAACTGGGTAGTTGAAATAGACGTGTAAATACGAAATTATAAACGAGTCATAATTCCATAAGGTCTTTTGTTAACACCATAATTTATAATGTTTTGATGCTGCCAGATGATTTTATGAACGTTAGTGGAATATATTTTATTTATAAATAAATACGTTGTTTTATTTCAAATTGATGTCACCGCCGAAAGAACAATACAGAAGTCTACATGCATTTAATTAACAAGTTCATCGACTTTAACGGCAGGTGGATAGCTCGCATTTATTACACGTATGTATTCATTTCCTGCAATAAAAATGTTAAATGTTACCGTTTGTTCCGAAATAGTGTGATAAGGCAAGTAATATTTGGGACTACTTGTACAACCAAATGCCCTGAAACCAATTGGATAACATTTTGCACACCTGCCTAGTGGCCTGCCTCACGGCCTGCCTGTTTGTTAAAATGACTCAATTTATAGCAAGTACCTAATTATAGCCTGACCAGGAACATAAAAACCCTGGCATAGAGGCGCGTCAATTGCATTTGATAGTGCAACACTGGGTACAGTCGTACCTGTATTAAATTAATAGGCTAACTTTATGTATCAGGATTCAGGATTATGGGCTAATTTAATATTTTCATATATTAACAAAAAATATTATATTATAGGTCAACTGGTTTCAATAAATTAAATGAAACCATCAATCGAGCTAGTTGGATTTTATTATTATTCATCAATAATCAAATTCTAAACTTGAATATTCAACTACAATGTCTGCTCATGAACGCTTCAAACTCGGTACTTCTTTCCCAATTCCATAAAATTCTACACTTACAAAGTGACAAAAAACTTTAAAATAGGTAGTTGAAACAAACCACAGCTAATTTTTATAGTTGACTGTACTATACGATAAACATGTCAGTCAATTTGACAACCTTTATCGGAAACATTATTCAATGAAAATATTGTCCGAACCCTTAGTATAGATGACCCACGCTGAACTGTCCCACCAAACTCAATGACAGGGGGGCGCTACCATCGTTCAACTATATGGTTTCCAACATGGCAAAAATCTGAACCAGCGATCCGGTATTGACGGTGGCGCCCCACTGTCAATGTCATCGACAGGACAGTCCAGTATTTTGGAACTATATTTCTCTTCGACAAATACTTTAACACATTGTGAACCACTTTTCTTTCACGACTATAAAAAGATTTTAGCAATTTAATTCACAAAATCAATTGCGCACATTTAAAATAAAGTTTGTTTACACTTTGACAACAATAGACTGACATGCAAGGTGACATGTCAATGAAGTTTTCAGTTACTGTTGCCATTAAAAGAAATTAGTACCATTAATTTTCCGCAACATGGCGAGGGTTTTTATGTTCCTGGTCAGGCTATAAGCCTTGTTCGCCTTGTTTATAATCAAGGGGCAAATATCAATCGTATATAATTTCTTCGACTAGTGACTCAAATGAGAATGACTGGCCTGACAAAAAGTGCATTTTGTCTAGGGGGGCTGTAATTTTTTTATACCATACCTAAACCTTTTGGGTGGGACTTCTAAATTACTTCCGTTCCTGCCCCCTTACCCCCTAGACCATTGGTTCCCAAACTTATTTAAGACGCGTGCCCTTTCGACCATACACAAAATTCCACAAAAGTCTGTATTCTGCAGAATGCATTCTCTTAAGAAGAGAAAGAAGAAGCGGTCGTAGATTTTTTATACTTAAGTACACAGATGGCCCGCGCCCCCTAGACCTAGTGAGGCTGATTTTGTATTATAACTCTTTAGAAAAAATGCCGGAGCAAAGTGATTTCTCACGTTTTGTAACTTTTATTTATGGGAGATTACGGTATTTATGGGAGCTATATTATTATTAACAAGATTCAATTTTTAAGCTCTCCGAATATCGACAACAAAATTATTTTGGTATAAGTAAATCAGTCGGGTCTCTTCGCGTGTTTTGCCCTACAAAATCAGCAATTTAATAAACAAATGTCAACATTCAACATTTTTGTAGGCAATTTATAGCCTGACCANAACATCCTCCCCCCTAGTGTCGGCTTTGCGACACTCATTACCCAACAGTACAGCTACGCGCGTCACTGGTCGCTTCATCACACCGCTACTGGTCCTAACATCTACTACCCTAACTCGGCCGTCCTTACCTGGATAGACGTTTTCAATCACTCCCTTACGCCAATGGTTTCGGGGTGAAGCGGGATCAACAACGACTACTACATCTCCTACTTGTATCGGTACACTTTCGCGATGCCATTTTTGGCGTGGGATAAGTGTTGGCAATACCTCTTTCACCCAGCGGTTCCAGAAGAGATCAGCGAGGCGTTGCGCGGTTCTCCACTGCTTTCGCAGATATAAATCTCCGTCATTGAAGACACCTGGTAGGGGCAAGTTTGATGGCGATCCGATCAGGAAGTGATTAGGTGTTAATGCTTCTTGGCTATGCGGATCTACTGATACGTGCGTTAGAGGGCGACTGTTCACCATATTTTCTACTTCCGCCATTAGCGTTGTGAGAACTTCCTCCTTCGGTGATCTCTCTTTGAGTACAGCCTTGAGCGCGGTCTTGACACTGCGTATTAGGCGTTCCCATGCACCTCCCATATGGGGGCTCACTGGAGGTATGAAGTGCCAGTCTACGCCTTTGTTGACTGCTTGCATAGCTACAGCATCTTGGTCTAGTTCACGAAAGGCCTTTACAAGTTCGCTGTCTGCGCCTCGCATATTCGTTCCATTGTCCGAGTATATAGATTTCGGCCATCCTCGGCGTGCTGCCATCCTGCGAAGTGCCATTATAAGAGCGTCAGCTGTTAGGGACGCTACAAGTTCAATATGAACAGCGCGTACTGACAAGCACGTGAACAGCACTCCGTATCGTTGCAGCTTTTGTCGGCCGGCGGTGATCTCGATGGGGCCGAACAGGTCAAGTCCACAAATTGTGAATGGTCGCTGATGGTGGGTTAATCTAGCTTCGGGCAGGTCTCCAAGCCTAGGCGGGTTTGGCATCGCTTTGCGTATGCGGCAGACATTACATTGGCTGGCAACGGTGCGAACAGTGGGACGCAATCGGAGAAGCCAGTACTTTTGGCGCAGCTCATTCACCACCAGTTCGTTGCATGAGTGTGCGGCGCGGACGTGATAGTGCTTCACTATGAGTCTCGCGGTCTCATGTCGTCCATCTAGAATGGCAGGATTCTTTACCTCGTCACTCACAGCCTTCGCGGCGTCTATACGGCCGCCAACCCTCAGCAAACCGTCGTTGTCCAGGTACGGGGTGAGTGACCGCAGTCGGCTATCGGCTCTCAGTGGTTTGTCCTGCTTGAGAAGGTTAATTTCTTCTTGAAAGCTTTGCTCTTGTGCATGACGTATCAGAAGCTTCTCCGCCTTTTGCATCAGCTCATCGGTTACAATGGTAAGTTTGTTCTTTTTGCATTTCTCTATGAACAATAAGACAGTTGCAGTGGCGCGCAGCAAACGCAACCAGCTGGAGAAGCGTTGAGGATCTGGTACTGGTAAGTGGTTTTCCTTATTCATTTCATGTAACAGATTTACTTTTTCCAAGATGTCATCACTTATCTTTACCTCTTTCACAGGGTCTCGCGGCCACAGCGCGCGCTCGTCACGAAGAAACAGAGGACCGGTGAACCACACACAGTCTCTGCTCAGCTCGCAGTCGGCGATGTTCTTTGTAATCAAGTCAGCTACATTCAGTTCGGAAGAAACATAATTCCACTCGGAAATTTTGCTCAACTCATCGATCTCTCCGAGTCTGTTAGCAATAAAAGTCTTGTAGCTTCTTGATTCGTTTCTTATCCAGTGCAACACCGTTGTAGAGTCAGTCCAATAAAAGGTGGCAGTGGGTTGCAGGCGGTGCTCCTTTTTAATGCCATCTGCCAGACGACATCCAAGTAACGCTCCCTGCAACTCAAGTCTAGGTATTGTTGTGGATTTCGACGGCGGTGTCACTCTGCTCTTACTGCTTATAAAGGAAACGACCACTTTGCCGTCGTCGCACCTTTTTCTCCAGTAAGCCACCGCGGCGTAGGCGTGCGGGGATGCGTCACAGAACACGTGTAGTTCTAGCCCCGTCTCGCTCGCACTCATGTCTTCGGTAATAGGGCTCGCGTCCTGCGGTATCGTCGTAGCGTTCGTAGATGCAGCTAGGCTCTCGTAGTCGCTCGCAGTCGTAGCAGTGTTTTGTTCGAGACGGTTACTCGTAGCAAAATACCATCTGGGTATGCGCAAGTTGTCAATCTTTTTTAACTGTTCCATCCATTCGCGAAAATAGCAAAATAAATCATCATTGATTTCGTCGTCCCATTTAATATTTAATTTCCAAGTCTGTTGAATTAATATTTTACCTTTAATCGTGACAGGGCCTAAATAACCATGAATATCGAAAATGGACATAACAATGCGTAGAACCTCGCGTTTAGTAGGTATTCGTGTGAAATTCAAAATGTCTGCAGGTATGCGTTTCAAAGATAGGTCAAAGGCTAACTCGTCAGAGACCGGGTACCAAAGTAATCCAAGTGTGCGCTCGGGGGAATTACTCACCATATTCTTCTCTGCATTCCCGCTCAAATCTTCCTTTGGCACATCTTCGAGTACTTCAGGGGCATTACTCATCCAGTTTCTCATATGAAAACCTCCTTGTTGGTGGATGTACGATACCTCTTGCACCATCTTCTTCGCGCTGCCTGGATCTTGCAAACTGTCAATATAATCATCCATATACTGACTTGTATTTATGGCGTGAACGGCTGTTGGCATTTTGTCTCGGAATCTAGATGCATTTTTGGATTGATTTATGTACTGCGCTACAAACGGAGAGCAATTCGCGCCAAAAATAAGTGAAGTCATTGCATATTTCTGTACAGGTTGACCATCCCTGCCTTTCCATAAGAATCTTAACGCGTGTTGATCTTCGTCTCTAATTTTTATACACAAAAACATGTCTTTTATATCGCCTACCACGGCCACTGGGTACTCGCGGAATCGACTCATAATTCCATACAACGAGTTCAATAAGTCAGGGCCTTGCAATAAAAAGTCATTAAGCGAATGGCCTTGGGTCTTCGCCGCTGCATCGAAAACCAACCGCAGCTTACCTTTGTTCGGGTTGTCCACACCAAAATGCGGTAGGTACCACACTCGTTCGGCGGTCTCCTCAGCGACGACAGACCTGGCATAATTATTATCAAACAAATGGTCAATACGATCTTGATAACGTGATGCGAAATCATCATTTAAAAAGAAATATGTTAACAATGATCCACTGTCAGAAATCACGAAATAAACACTTACGCGTGGAATTTTATATCACTTCCAGGACAACACGAACTACCGCAACCACGCACTATACAATTTTGCACCATTTCTTCAGACAAAACAATGATAAGGTCCCTTGAAAAATCTCAAACGAAATCAACTGCATAGTAAACAACCGCCATGATGGGCCGGATTCGGCCGATGTTGCCACATTACCGATACCTCAGAAATTGGGATTGTAATTCCCTGATTCGCCAACACATTAAGCCTAAATGGCCGACAATTTTGTGATTTTTTATTTAACTAGGTAATCTAAGTTTCAAATATTAATTATTTATTTATTTAACTTCTTATTTGGTTAGTGAATTGGCTATTTCGAAGAATTTACAAGGAGATTTAAATAAGAAGATAGCAATACTACAGTTCACACTAAAAAGAGAGGTAGGGCCACAGAGAGCGAGATAGATATAAGTAGGTATTTGACTCAAGTTTTGTTCCCAACTTTGCCCTCCATTTTTATCTGTAGCTTCATGATGCTGACGTGCTCGTACAGTATCCTTGTGGGCAAGTAAAATTATAACCAATTTATCTTTTTCCTTGAAGGAAAAATTTGCTTCATTTCTTTTTTCCATTGTCGTTTTTATCGTTAAATCGCAACTACACACAGAACTCAACAAAATATCTATCAAAATCAAAGTACATTTTTATTTTCATTTATTGTGGTGCAGCAGTCATCTCATAAAGTTAATATAGATGACCCACGCTGAACTGTCCCACCAAACTCAATGACAGGGGGGCGCTACCATCGTTCAACTATATGGTTTCCAACATGGCAAAAATCTGAACCAGCGACACAGAATAAGTAATAGTACAGGTACAGAAGGATTACTCCGCAAGACGATTTAAATAAATGCGAGTCTTGCTGCGACGCGATACAGTGGAATTCAGCTCGCACAGCACTACGTACCTACAATTTTATTCACCTACAAGTTTTGTCTCTTTCTATCGCGTGCCTCTGAACTCTTCTTACGCTGTTAGGGTTGCTGTCTAATGAAAAAATAATTAATCTACTTATTTGTAATGAGGTACGTATGTAGGTAAGTATGCATTCATTATGGAAAACCTTTATAGTAGGTCAGGTTCCTATACTATCCTAAGAATTATTGATTACCTATATGGCCAACAAACCTTTCAGCATCTTTGGGAAGCGAAAAAAAAATATAAATCCGGTAGATTACTTTTCGAATTTAAACACCCGAACGCCGCACAATATTTCTTTCTCTTTATGTCCATTTTTAAATAATACTTCGATCATAGAATTATAATCATACTACAACGCACGCCAGCGTCCTGACGAGCGCGCGCGTGACACTTGACAGATATAATACCCGCCGGCGGGGCGCTTCGCTGTAGGTAATTATCGAATGTACCGCGCGGAGTGAGCCAGGCCTGCCAGCGATCCGGTATTGACGGTGGCGCCCCGCTGTCAATGTCATCGACAGGACAGTCCAGTATTTTGGAACTATATTAACTTTATGAGTCATCTTGACATTTACTTTTTTTAAGGCAAAGGAATTACATTATGCACCCAAACCACAGATTACATAATAGCCCAAATATCTTTTTTGTCTTTAATAATAACTCAAAAATACAAAAAGACATCAGTTTTGGTCAACTATTTCTTAGTTTTACTTTTATTTCATTTGTTTCTGTGAAATACGTAAGATATTCCCAATAAAATATTTTATCGGAAAGTACCGGTTTTTCAAACGTCACTAGGCGCACGAAGAAACGCCACCTGACAAAAGAGTCCCTACTTAGGTTTACTATAGCATGGTGAAAACGAACTTAAGTTAATGGGCAGTTTAGGCGATCGTTTAACCAAAGTGATATTTAGTTAGCAAACGCTTAAGGGAACGATGGTGAAAACGGGCATTATTGACTTTTTAAAAATTGCTTTAAAGTTAATTTCTTTTCTAACATTTTTTTAACCAAACGTTGCATAGTAAAAATATTTGTCAAAAATTAGCCAAAGTTTTACGCACATGGTTTTAAATTATGTTATTTGACACTTTGACATAATTACGTAGATGTAAACTAGCTCTTCGAAAACAAAACAATGCGCACGAGTCGTTCTGACGTTATACCTACTCGATAACAAATTGTTTTCATTTGAAAGCCGCAATAAATCAATAGGAGCGATACTACGGTTGTTTAACACGTAAAACAATACATGTATGACCAAAAATAATATGCAGAACGACTAAATAAAGAAACCGCACGTGTTGAAGTCTGAAGAGGTAAAGAACATGTAGCGTAGTGGCACCAATGATCGACACTTTAAGGAGATATTGGGCTTCTTATTAAGATTAAAGGTCATTTAGTCATCTTTAAACCAAAAGTAACGATTGAGCATGATAAGGTATATTCTTGAGATAAGAATAGGATGTATTATTTTTATTAACTATACACGGACTAGAAAAAAATCCCAAAAAATGAAAAAGCATATAAATCTCCAATCATCGACACCGAATCTCCAGTAGTCAACACCCAGTCATCGACAGCTGCCACTTACCGACACCCAGTTATCGACGGTCTCCTTTTTTGGCAAGTACTCGACCAGGTTTAGGATGGAAGCTCTGCCAGTCCTGGCTGGTGTACTGCCGGTCGACTTAGAGGTACAGAAGCGTGCGGCTATATATTTCGCATCAAGGGAAAATATATAAATATACTAACCTCCGATTTCTTAAATAGCCGCGATCGTTCTAAAATAAGCCGATTATTTGATTCCCGAGAAGTCGTTGAAGAGGAATTACTTAATGAATGGCAAAAAGATGGAATACGTCAGTCAAAGGGCGTCACTTATATAATTTCCACTGCAGACCCATGTTACCCCTGGCGATACCCCTGGTGGTATCGTGGGTCTTGTTAAAGAACTACACTTCAGACCCACGATACCCCTGGGAGTAAAGTTGACAAACGAGGACCGGCGCGGGCGCGGCGGGCCGGGAGGGGACGCACAGTGCACAGTGTTGTGGAATACCTCTTTGAATTCTAAATTAATTTCATTGAACATGCATACCCACGATACCACCAGGGGTATCGTGGGTCTGCAGTGATAATTTCTTCCCGAATGTACGCGAACGTCTAACTAGGCGATGGTTAGAAATCGACCATTGCTCGTCGCAGTTCCTCATGGGGCATGGCAACTTTAAACATAAACTCAAACTAGTTCCGTCTCCTTTTTGCGAGTGTTCCACTAATGATGTCAGTCATGAGCAGTCTGCCCATCATATTATCTTGTGGGAGTGTGATCTTTGGAAACATTAACGTAATTTAATGCTTAATTCAATACAACATACCTACATCTGTTTCCGCAATTTATTACACCGATCTTGTCGCGACAAGGAAAAATTTCCGTGCTTTTAAGCGATTTTGTGAAAAATATTATTGGCAGGTAGTTGATGATTGCTCATAAGATAAGCCCCCTTAATTGATATTTAGTGTCCGTAGTGCATAATCTTTTCTTAAAGGGTTTAAACCTTTGTTTGTCACCTGTCATCCGCTTTGCAAAGTCGAACCTTAATTTCGAACTCCTCCTATGTTCTTCTGAATAATTTCGTTGCGGGTCCAATGACAGTTTAACTTTCCCCCGGGACAAACTTGACCTTCATTGGTTGGGTTTTTGTGGCGGTAAAGCCGTAGGTCCTGGCTACACAGGAGTTGCAGTGGTGGGGACGAGAGGTGGGAATAGTCCCGATTTTAGTTAAAACTGTGCTCGGCCCCATTATACAGGGTGGAAACGAAAAGTGATCTCACTCGATTATTTCTAAACTACTTATCTATACAAGATATCGAAAAACTGATTATTGATCCTGAAAGTGCTTCACGAGCTCTTTCAAACGGTATCAGTAATAGGTTACAGAATTAACTGGATCTATCCGAAAATTCATGTTTTCAGGCTTCATATCATACACACAATATTAGAAGTGTTAATTTTTTTTTATTCAATAATAAACACTTAAATTGAACTCCAAATTGCATTCTTATTTAGAAAACATTGGTTTTAGGCTTTACTTACTATAATATTATCAAGACATGAGTGCCATGACTCTGGCAGTACTAAATGTGTGGAAGCTGGTAACATTGAATTTTCGGATAGATCAAGTTTATTTTGTAACCTATTATTGGTACCGTTGGATAGAGCTCGTGAAGCACTTTCAGGATCAGTAACCAGTTTTTGGATATCTTGAATAGTTTTTAATATTATGTGGTTTTACTAAATGTATGGAAGTCGGAAACATTGCATTTTCGGATAGATCCAGTTTATTTGGTAACCTATTATTGGTACCGTTGGATAGAGCTCGTAAAGCACTTTCAGAATCAGTAATCAAGTTTTGGATATCTTGTATTAGTTAAGAAATAATGGAGTGAGATCATTTATCGTTTCCACCCTGTATAATATAGTGTAACCCATTGTTGTTTTTCCCGAAATTTTATCATGGAGCGTAATCCTACCTAGGTACTCCGAAACGTTTAGCAGCAACTGCAATCTTTTCGCAATTTTAACAGCTTCTACAGCTTTTTCTAATTGCTCGGGAGAATAATTTTTTCTCGAACCAATCATCGACATATATTATTCCCCAATAATCGACACTTGTCGATTACTGGTAGCTCGACTATGAATAGTTTACTTCAAATATCTATTAAATGGGCAAAGTCATAAGAACTATATTCGGTTGTCAAATGAAAAATGTTCCAAAAAATTACTATCGACACGTGTCGATTATTGGAAAAGTCAGTTTGTGAAAACCAGTGATCGACACCAACATTTTACTAATATCAAAATAACATTTTAAATTCGTTATAACAAAAATGGATTCTATAGTTCTTAAAGTAACCCGTGAAAAAGATAAAATTCAAATAAGTTACAATACAGTAGTGTAGTTAACAAAAAATGTACTCACTTCCTTA